CTCAAGAAACACTGGACAACGGGGCAGACAGTATCACAAAAGTTCAATACGGCCTTTCTCCACGATACTAACAAACTCAACAAATTCAAGATAGACCTCAGCAACAAGTTCCAGGCTTTTCATGGTCTACTCAATGGAGAAGGAACTACTGTGGAGAGCAACTGGAAGGGGATCAAAGAGGCAATCACTTCAACATGTCATGAGGTCCTGGGCCACAAGAAGCACCATCACAAGGAATGGATCACTGTGGATACACTGGATAAGATTCAAGAAAGTAGGAACAAGAAAGCAGCAACCAATACCAGTCAAACAAGAGCAGAAAAAGCCAAGGCACAATCTGAATACACAGAAGTAAACAAACAAGTGAAGAGAAGCATGAGAACCGACAAACGTAAATATGTGGAAGATTTAGCAACGACGGCGGAAAAGGCTGCAAGAGAAGGGAACATGAGACAATTGTATGACACGACAAAGAAACTCTCTGGAAATCGCCGCAAACCAGAACGACCAGTGAAAAGCAAGGAAGGCAAGGTAATCACCAACATTGAAGAGCAACAAAACAGGTGGGTAGAACACTTCAAAGAACTCTTGAATCGACCAGCTCCACTGAACCCACCCAACATCGAAGCAGCACCCACGGACCTCCCAATCAATGTTGGCCTACCAACAATTGAAGAAATCAGCATGGCCATCAGACAAATCAAGAGTGGCAAAGCAGCAGAACCGGACAACATCCCAGCAGAGGCACTAAAAGCAGACGTATCGGCAACTGCAAGGATACTACACATCCTCTTCAATAAGATTTGGGATGAGGAACAAGTACCAACAGACTGGAAAGAAGGACTACTGATCAAAATACCGAAGAAAGGCGATCTCAGCAAGTGTGATAACTACAGGGGCATCACTCTTCTCTCAATACCGGGAAAAGTCTTCAACAGGGTATTGTTAAACAGGATGAAGGACTGCGTAGACGTCCAACTTCGTGACCAACAGGCAGAATTCCGTAAGGATAGATCGCGTACAGACCAAATCGCAACTCTACGGATCATTGTGGAACAATCAATTGAATGGAATTCATCACTCTATATCAACTTCATCGACTACGAAAAGGCATTTGACAGCGTGGACAGAACAACACTATGGAAACTTCTTCGACACTACGGCGTGTCTCAGAAGATAGTCAATATCATACAGAACTCATATGATGGATTACACTGCAAAACTGTGCATGGAGGACAGTTGATAAAGTCGTTCGAAGTGAAGACCGGTGTTAGGCAATGTTGCTTACTCTCACCCTTTCTCTTTCTCCTGGTGATCGACTGGATCATGAAGACGTCAACGTCTGAAGGAAAGCGCGGGATACAATGGACATCTAAGATACAGTTGGATGATCTAGACTTCGCAGACGATCTGGCCCTTCTATCCCAAACGCAACAACAGATGCAGGAGAAGACAAACAGTGTGGCAGCAGCCTCAGCAGCAGTAGGTCTCAACATACACAAAGGGAAAAGCAGGATTCTCCGATACAACACAGCGTGCACCAATCCAATCACAATTGACGGAGAAGATTTGGAAGATGTAAATCCTTTACATATTTGGGCAGCATCATTGATGAACAGGGTGGATCGGATGCAGATGTGAAGGCGCGGATCGGCAAAGCAAGAGTAGCATATTTACAGCTGAGGAACATCTGGAACTCAAAGCAACTGTCAACCAACACCAAAGTCAGAATTTTCAATACAAATGTCAAGGTAGTTCTACTGTATGGGGCGGAAACCTGGAGAACTACGAAAGCCATCATCCAGAAAATACAGGTGTTTATCAACAGTTGTCTACGCAAAGTACTTCAGATCCATTGGCCGGACACTATTAGCAACAACGTACTGTGGGAGAGAACAAACCAGATCCCAGTGGAGGAAGAAATCAGGAAGAAGCTCTGGAAGTGGATAGGACACACGTTGAGGAAAGCACCCGACTGCGTCACAAGGCAAGCCCTTACATGGAATCCTGAAGGCCAAAGGAAAAGAGGAAGACCAAAGAACACATTACGCCGGGAAATGGAGATAGACATGAGAAAAATGAACAAGAATTGGATGAAGCTAGAAAAGAAGGCGGAGGACAGAGTGGGTTGGAGAATGCTGGTCAGCGGCCTATGCTCCATTGGGAGTAACAGGCGTAAGTAAGTAAGTAAGTAAGTAAGCAAGTAAGTAAGTAAGTAAGTAAGTAAGGTACTTCTAAAGTGCCTTAGCTTGCTGAAGAATTTAAATCATAGTTGGGAGCGATATAAATGCGAAAGTATGTTACCTGATACCCATTCCTACCTGATCATCACCTGTAATAGAACACGCAAGAATAATCTGTTGTGTAACACACATTGGTGAGTACACTCCGATTGAGCGTAAGCAGTATCCCTGATTGAACAAATGAATGGTCTCACCCTGGTGTCCGAGCAGCTATCAAGCCGAATGTTTGGCAATTTTTAAAATATGAAATGAATAGGAGCCATAAGGCGAAAGAACTTCCCTGATACTACTGTAAAAATACAAGATAACGAAATTTAACAGATGTCTCTCAGGTTTGTTTGTTAATCCGTTTCTAGTTTTGACCATGTATACCTCAACCTTGAAGATTTTTTTCAGAATTAAGTGAATTTGCATACCTCGAAACTCTCGTGTACAATTTTACATGCTGGGAAGAGGCATTACTTGTAAGATAAATTACTGCTGAAATGTTTGCTTGCGCTCTCACCGAATAATGGGCTTCAGAACTTCGGCTTCTCGTCAACTAATATGGTAGTCTGTAAACACATATTAAGATCTGGACCGTCAAATCCCAAGTCCACTGAATAACGCAATTTATAGCAACCATTTCATTGCTTTCTAACTATAAGTAAATTAGAACAGCCCTACTATCAGTTAAAAGCCTTTCTTCCTCCTGGAAATAAAGAGCGACGGGCAGGCGCGATTTCATTCGTTTCACTCCAACTTTGAGGTATATTGAGACCTGAAACTGGAGGCCTGAAACATCAGGACTTTAAAGGAATGGTTAGCCTCGAAAGGAAAAAATTGGGAGAGAGAGTTGCCATTGGTGTTGCTGGCACATCGTGTCTCCATACAAGGAATAACCAATAAGCCACTATTCCTGCTTGTGTACGGTAGACAATCACAACTTCGAATGCATAATAAGACGTGGCCACAATAACAAAGGTGGACGGTAACAAGGTTAAGAAAAGAAAGGAAGGAGGCAATAGGGAACGGGGAAAACTTTTACGGAAGGGGACCTGGTAATTGTAGATAACAGGAGGGTGACATAGCAGTGAGATCAGGGTCAGGAAAGCTGATCCCGAAGTGGGAAGGACTGTGCATTGCCACGGAGAAACGTGGCTCGGTCTACACTACCCGGAGAGAAGACAAACAGAAGCGCGTAAATGTTGGTCAACAGTAGAGATGGTTTCAAGAACATCATCAGTGCGAGTCACGAACGGCACCAAAGAAAACAGCGATACGGTAACCGGAAGGACTGTGAGAACAGCTTACTAAAACGGGGGACGAGTGTGGTATATGCTACTTATGTCGACATAAGTAGTATATAGCGCTGGTTAGAATAGAACGTCTGGAAGCAGAAGGTTGGGCAGATCGAGGAGAAAAGAACGGGAACAGAAAGCGATTGATATGGAAATGCAATAACAATGAAGTCTGAAATAATTAATGAACATTTTGCAAATGAAATATTGGAGTATAGTTTTCTCATTTTATTAAGTAACAGTAATTTTGTGCTAAATATAATCAGCTGTCTTCAGCTGTGTTCTCCTTCACTAAAAAATCACTTATTTCAGTAGGAAGAGGTAACTGTTTTTACCGCCTATTGTATGACTTACAACAGAAAGCAAAACCACGACTTTAATCTCCTGCTAATTAACCCCTTTCTCTAACAAATGACAGCAGGAGTGAGAAGGCAAACGTAAGATTTCGATACATCTGCATGAAGAAAAAAGTAAATTGCTTAACTGGGAAAAATATGACTTTTGTTAGGGTCATCATAGAGTTGAACGATTAATCACCTTTATTTTGGCTTGTGCTTTCACTTCACGTATTGAAATCTTTTCTTAAACATTAGTACAACGTTACTTTTATACAAGTGGTAGATGAGGAAGTTTCGGAAATGTCATGTCACCATTAGACTTGTGGTATCTAAATTTCGAAACTTTTTGGGAATGTATTACTAGTTATCAGGTCCTTGTAATCTACGTGTGTATTACGAAGGTGGCCCTTATTTACAAGAGTATAACTAGTGTTTAAACAATTTCAAGAATCTTAAAGAACACAGTATTACTCAGTAATAAAAGAAGTGACTAAGAGGTGGCTGTCTCAGTACGTTTAGAACGGAAGTGAATGTCAAGTCCTCTTTCGAAACATCAACAGAATCACCATATATATATTTTGTCCGTGCTTTCTCACATTCCAACCTTAAATTATACCTGCCTAGATATGAATTAATACTAGGGTGCGTTAGTAATCTTTCAAGGGAGAGATGATCGGCAGTATGACTCGTTATGATCAAATGCTCCTTGTGCTTATGTGGTGAAGAGGCCTTGAGCTCAAGGTTCTGTGTAAGTTTTTTCCATATTCTAAGTACTTTTCCTTGAACTCATAATTGTATGAGAATGCACTCCTAAGGTGGGAAGATGAGAAAAAAGTTCCGTTCCAGCTAGGCTCAAAATTGAGTGGTGAAGATGCTTCAGAATAATACATGGGACAAGTTACCTAGAGCTCTGTAGAGACCCCAAGCGAGTATTTGTTATGTAATCTAAAGAATACTTCCATTTATTTCTACCTGATTTCTACTTGATTATATGTGGTAGATCCGGTTGTGCGCTAAAATATAGGGAAGTAGGACATTAGTCTATTTTAATACATCGGCAGTAGCTGAAAAGCAGTTGGTTTAAACTAACGTTTTAAAGGACTGGAGGAAAACGCGCTGGCGGGACTCTTAATTCGTAAATGTGTCTAGCGCAGTTTTGGACGTTGATGGTAAGTGGTTTTGATGGTGATACAGGGATACAGTCATATTCTGTTCCTACCTTGTAGACTGTCCAATCCTGACTTAAGCATCCTTTTCAGTCAATAACCAATCACATCAACCCTTACACCCTACATTTTAAAAGTATAACGGTAATAATAGTTCTGATATTATTACCAACAGTTCATTAGTATAGTGTACTCCCAACCCTTTTTTCTTGATCTCTCGGACAAGCTTGTCACTCATCCTTGACACCACTAGTTTTGTCGGGGTTTAAGTGCATGGCTACAAATGACGAGATGGTTTATTTAATCGATTCTAGGAGTCCCTTAGTCCTGTAGTAAAAGTAACAGATTAAAAAATGGTTAGTGAAGGATTAAGACTGGAAGATAAAAAGTGAACTATCGGAAATGATTCAAGAACAGCTGGTGAACAGTTCTAAGCATCTTCAGTCACTAACCGCAAATATCTTGTCAATCGCGACCAGTTAGTGTATTACCACCGAAGTTGGAGCTAACAGTCAATAGTCGTGTTGACCATATCCTGGTCTGTCCATCACTTGTTCTATTTCTTACATCCGCTACGTTACCTAGCATTACATATCAGAGTAAGTAGTGGTTAGGTATTAAGGTATTGTAGTTCCTTGTCTTGAAATCTTCGGCTTATTTGCAAAGTAAACGTGATCACTGGTGCCTTGAATTCCGAATCATGATGGGGATCGCAAACTACTGTGTCGTAGTTTTTAAGTTAAATAAATTAGTTGAAAGCTAGATACAAAATCTAACAGTGCCAATGTTAATGTTAGCGTAGAGACTTTTCCTCATTTAGTTCAATCCTTCTGCGTTTCCACGTAATTTAATTACATCTCACATAATCAACTCTCGGATGTCATTAGTTGCGAAAAAATTGAAGGCCAGTGAGCATATAATTCTTTGTGGTCAGGCAGTTATGTTTTCACTATTTGGGATTTCCCATAAAAGCTTTTCATAACTTGAAACAGTCAGTCAGTAACAACGTAGAACTTCGTACGTACGTACATCAGTTCGAGTTGCCACACCACATTAGCACAGAGATGCAGTGGTCGATTCAAATCCCGTAGTGGTAGAGGTGGTAAGAGTATAAGCAGTAATCGGAAAGATTAGGGTTTGAAGATGTTATTCAAGGAGTATAATACAGTGAAATAAATTTAGAAAGAAGAAGGAAGGGACATGACAAACTCAGAAGATTAGAATTTGGGAGAACACAAAGAGTGGATGCATCTGGGCCATTGCAAAGGATTTTGAGCCATGTCATTCAGGGTATCTAACCATCGGTTGCTATAATTTCGCGGTCCCCAATTAGGTAGTCTACACCTACCAACATGGCTCAGTTCACTTGTCAGTGACTTCATGGATTTGTGCGATGTTTTGGTCTGGTCGCTCCTAGCTTTCTCCCAACCTACTCCTACACCATAATTTATTTATTTATTTCAACACGGATATTGGTACAAAGAGGCACCAAATACATATGCGCCACACAAATCTCATTCGATATGTGTGAGGGCCGTGATACTGCTCGGGTGCCCAGACCGAAGCAGGTGGTTTTCTTAGGGGTCCACACCCCGAGCCTTTGACCTAAAGGTCTGACCCATAAGGCAGTGGAGCATCGTGAGGAGACGCAGTCCCATGGTAGCCGGTGACCAACGATTGGTTCATACGCCATTTGTTCCCACAGGATACTGGAGCCCATGTGCACCATTGGTTTGGGATCCGGTTAAAGCGCCGGACATTCGCTTTTCGTCCTCTTATTTTCGTAAACAACACCCCCCGCCACGAGAAGGCAGTGTGTAGGACTTCCCTGGCAGAGGCTATATACGCGTGGCCATGTGAGAGCATTTCGAGAGGGAGGGCGGGTCCAGTCCACTCTCGGCCATACCAGGGCATTTGGATGCGAAGCGTAAGCAAATGCGTGCCCTTATTGGAACATGATCAGAGTCTAAACATGTACTCTCGAACGAGTGGCAGTCTTCTGTCGAGCCCCTGCAATGATGACTGATGGCAATATGGTCTCTCTGAGTCCATCGTTGGTTTGGTGCAGGCGGTCACTATGTAAGACGATGTCTCTCCTTATGCTTAAAATTAGTGCTTGTTAAAAATAAATGATTGTCTGAACACAGCTGCAGCAGATAGTCAACATTATCTCTTCACTGAGTCGGAATACCAAGATACCCACATAAATGTCTTTCTGTTTGGTTTAAGCTACCTACCTGGGCATTAAAGTCACCTGCTACGAGTAATATGTCTGAGTGTTTAGCTTTTGAAGAAGTTCAGAAAGCTTTCTATAAAAGTAATCTTCTACTTCATCCAGGCTGCAGTCAGTGGGAGCGTAGGCAGAAATGAAGAAAAGGTAACGACGTGTGTTCATATCCTTCCGAGTTCTTACGGAGCAGTTTAACCGAATACCAAAGGTGACTGTTAACAGCGATCTACTCTAGTAGTGCTTGTTCTGCCTTCGTACTTAGTGCTATGCCTGCACCCGCCAGTTCACGAGAACTAGTCGTCGGGTGGTCAGATACACGGAGGGTGTATCTCGTCAGCTCCTCGTTTTGACGAGGTGAGGTCAAGTGGATGACCACACCAGGATCCTGTATGCGTGTTTCTGAGACACAGCATCCACCAGTGGTACGAGATTCTAGTGTTTTAGCCAAGGAGGCCTGCTGACCAATTTGACATAGGGCGCGTTCGTTGAAGGCTTCAATGTGTAGCTTGGAGCGAGGTTTCAATAGACCTGAGACAGTGTTTTGCGTACTAGAATCATTGGCTATGGTGGTACTTGAGGAGAAAGTTTACAGTTGAAAGTCGATGTAGGAGGAATAACAGGAATTGAAGAGGGAGTTTGATTATGAATACAGTGGTTTTGAGTGCTGTTTAGAAGTACGAGGGCGGTTATCACTTGTTGCCCATACCGTAGAAGGGTTCTTCTGGAGGTACCTGAAAAGGAACTTGGTTTAGTGGTGGTCTCAGTGATCTGATAGCGTAACCGCAGTGCCCAAGGGACAACTGCTTGAGGTCGGTCACACACGACATTTTTATGGGTAATTTTCGTGTTAGCTCCGTACTTGTTAAAACCTTACCACCGGAGACAGATATCCGTGAGTTATTGCGAGGTGTGTATTTTTAGGGTTGACCCTTTTTTAACCACACCCCTCCTTGTGGGAAGGCAGCATCGCTGTCATGCTGGTTGTCTGAAGGAAATACCTTACTGCTGTCACACCTTTGTACAGTCAGCATTACAACTTCACCCTCAGACCTTGGGTTTATTGCTTTTAGTCTTACCGCTCTTCAAGTTACCTGTCTGACATGGTAGAACCTTAAGGAATGATCGTTCCAGCCAGTATAGCTCGACTGGTTCATCACGATAGGCAAGCTCGACCACCACGCCAAGGTAGCAACAACAGTCGGGTGGTTCATCATCTATATCTCTCTCGGTCTTGAACTCCAATTTCCCTTCGAGGTTTTGCCTTTCTTTTTATTACTGCTACTACATTAATGCTTTTTGGTTTTGCTATCCATCTTTTCATCCTCATCTCGTGTCAACGTGATATGTCAACTTGTTTATATTTGTCTGTACAACCTGTTATAGGGTCTTCCATACTCCACTTAAAGTTTTTGACTGGGATTTTTTGCCCATTTTTTCCTGGTTAATGAAGTTGACATCTTCAAGTGTTAGCTACCTCTTTCATTAAAAAAAAATTATGTTCACCGTCTCGGACAATGAATGATTGAACTATCATAATGATAGGAGAGTGTTACTTTAAGGGTAAGAACCCATTAAAAGCAAATGGTGGCTTGGTTTCAGCAGTCTAATCAATAGTCTGAAAGTAATTATCCAGTATATCCGTTTATTATTTGCCATAACTAGTTTTTTATTAAATTAGCGACTTAGGAAGTTATTTTTGCTTGTCAATAAAATGTAACAAATGGTTAGTGCATAACAGTGTAACTATAAGAGTATCGGAGGTCAATCCATTCTTCAGAAATATGACTTAAAATCAGTTGATCGTTAATTCGTAATAACGTATTTTAGACTATTATCCTATGGAAAAATCGGCCAAATTTGGGAAAACCAAGTAACCATCCCTAGAGTATTAGGCAATAATCACATTTTTGTAGAGCTTGCTAGTCGATATTCTTGAATTGTACTACTTATGGTTATTTTGTTGTTAGATATTCCTTATGGAATAATATACTTGTTGTCAATAATATACTAGTCGATATCAAAATAGGGTAAGACATTTCATAAATCTGTATTATTTAAAGTTGCTACATTTCACGTCATCATAGAGAAGATAAATTAACAATAAAGAAGGTAAATTAAGATGTCAAACAATGTGGAAAACTTTTTCAACAATTGTTATCTGATAGTCACTGTCACTGTGCTTTTCCGTCATGCAAGAAGAACTAAATACCGTAGATTTTACCGTTTCTAATACAGAATGAGTAATTAATCAGTCAAACGCAACGTAGGACTTGGTGCTTGTGTACACCGGTTCAAGTTACCCCATTCCACTAATACAGCAACGCGACGTTGTTAGGACAAACCTCAGAGTAGTCGAGTTAGTAACAGTATTATTGGTAATAAAACGAGCCATCAAAGATACGATTGGAGAATTATAAATTATTGAAGTAAAAAGTGTATGGGGAATCTAGAAACTTATAATCTAGGGGAATACAAAGAGTAAATACGCCTGCACCATCGCAAGTGATTTTGAGCAATGTCATTCAAAGTCTAATCACTGGTTACGATAATCACGCATAACCCAAATAGTATGTACATGTTAACGAGGCTCAATCCAATCCTCAGTGGCTTTGTTTAACCACTCCTGATTTGTGGAAAACTTTTCTCTTTTTTACAGGAGTGTAATGTGAACTTCTAAATGAACTAAAAATGAATGAACAAGATCAAATTATGTCCGAAATAGATGTATGTTTTTTAACCTAGTTAGTAACTTTTTCAGCGAAAGCAAGTAACCGAGTTCATTGTTGAAGCTTCTGAACGTTTGTCTTTGAGAACAACACTGTTGGAGCAAAATTTAGCAGTTGCAGGCAAATGGCCAGATGATTCCTTCTTCGTAAGAAAGGATTCAACTTTGAAAAAGAATACTGCTTTTGTCAAGAAAGTGGTAAGATTGAATATTTTGCGAATTTTAAAAAATTGGCAGCGAAACTTTCTCGATAGCCAGAAAGATGCGCTTTTATCGGAGTTCGAGTCCCTGAATCTTTCTAAATATGTCGAAGAAGTCGCAACCGCGATCGTTGAAGCGAAAATAAAATTAACTGATATTCCTTTTATGTTGAAATTATGTTCAGCGATGTACCAACGGTATTCAGATTTTGGAGTGTTGTTTTTTGATGCGTGGAAGAAATCATTCTCTTCCCACAAAGATTTAAAGGTAATCAAAATAATTTTTTTGAAGAGATCCCCTAGAACACTAATCTTTCCAAACTACGAGTTGATTTGGCCTTATTCGCTGATCTTAATACAATCGGAATATTTCGAGACGCTGATGGTATCCGACTGTTGGCTGGGCAATTGACTCTTCTAACTGCAAATGATCATGATAACTTCTCCAATATCGGGATAATTAGTAGCTTCTGTAGACATTGCAGTGACGACTGGATAGGAGTCATTCCGCGTCGTATACGGTAAATCGATTGAACGTTTAGGCATGTTATTAATTCAGCTTCATGTGAAATTTAAAAAGCTGTATTTTCACGGCTTTTAACTACAGTCTCACATGCTAGTATGATTCATTTTCATTTTTCCTATCGTAATGGTGCACAATTAAGTTCACAGAATACTAAAAGTAACTTGAATGCTCATAAGAGTACTAATATATCTGTAAAATTACACTAAACTGAGTTGTCTTTTGACTCTTCACCATCTTTTGAAAGCCATTTGAAAAAATATATAGACTGAAAGCTAACGAGCGTATCGATAGTTGAAGGAACAAACATTGTCAGCTAATGCTATAAAAATTACGGATTTTACAGATATATTTCTGTTTCAAGGCACCTATCAAATTATCAGACCGTCAAATCATGTTACTGGTACTTTAAAACTAGGTTAATTACATCCATTTACTAACTCTTCTAGCATGGTAAGTGTAGTGTGGAATTCATGCAATCTGATCAGGTCTTGTTATATCGAGTTATGTTATCTCATATACCATCCGTCGACCATAATATCGGATAGTATGTTAGTTAAATGTCCGGCGCATTAACCAGGTTGGTAGATATGGAGGGTCCACCTAAGGAGGTTGGAAAACCCTGATTCCAACCAATGCACATGGGCTCCAGGATCCTAAAGGAGCAAATGGCGTATGAACCAATCGTTGATCACCGCCCACCATGGGACTGCGTCTCCTGACGTGGCTCCACTGCCTTTTGGATCAAACCTTTAGGTCCAAGGCTCCGGGTGTGCTCTCTAAGAAAACCCCCTGCTTCGGTTTGGGCACTCGGGTAGTATCCCAGCCCACACAAAAATCAAGTGGCTTGTGTAGCGCATATTTATTCGGTGCCCCTTTGTATCAATATTTATGTGTTCAAATAAATAATAACAGTGGTAGATGATTCCTAAGTTTGTGCAGGGATATATATATATATATATATATATATATATATATATATATATATATTCTGAAGAGGGATTAAAATGAGAGTATTTCAACTACTCAAGCTATAATCAGCTACTACACAGCATATTACCGGTTAGGATAAACAACTGTGAGCAACGGGAATTCGTTTGTCTTAGGATATATTTCTTATCCACCCTCAGGTGTTGCCGTCAATCTTCAGATAATGCATGGATGGCATAATTGTCCATGTGAAATGAAACTCCGTTGTTTTTATCATATACATGCTCCAAAATATGGCTGAATATATACAACCTTTTAAATCATGCTACTTGTATTCAAGTCAGTCAGTAACAACGTAGAACTTCGTACGTACGTACATCAGTTCGAGTTGCCACACCACATTAGCACAGAGATGCAGTGGTCGATTCAAATCCCGTAGTGGTAGAGGTGGTAAGAGTATAAGCAGTAATCGGAAAGATTAGGGTTTGAAGATGTTATTCAAGGAGTATAATACAGTGAAATAAATTTAGAAAGAAGAAGGAAGGGACATGACAAACTCAGAAGATTAGAATTTGGGAGAACACAAAGAGTGGATGCATCTGGGCCATTGCAAAGGATTTTGAGCCATGTCATTCAGGGTATCTAACCATCGGTTGCTATAATTTCGCGGTCCCCAATTAGGTAGTCTACACCTACCAACATGGCTCAGTTCACTTGTCAGTGACTTCATGGATTTGTGCGATGTTTTGGTCTGGTCGCTCCTAGCTTTCTCCCAACCTACTCCTACACCATAATTTATTTATTTATTTCAACACGGATATTGGTACAAAGAGGCACCAAATACATATGCGCCACACAAATCTCATTCGATATGTGTGAGGGCCGTGATACTGCTCGGGTGCCCAGACCGAAGCAGGTGGTTTTCTTAGGGGTCCACACCCCGAGCCTTTGACCTAAAGGTCTGACCCATAAGGCAGTGGAGCATCGTGAGGAGACGCAGTCCCATGGTAGCCGGTGACCAACGATTGGTTCATACGCCATTTGTTCCCACAGGATACTGGAGCCCATGTGCACCATTGGTTTGGGATCCGGTTAAAGCGCCGGACATTCGCTTTTCGTCCTCTTATTTTCGTAAACAACACCCCCCGCCACGAGAAGGCAGTGTGTAGGACTTCCCTGGCAGAGGCTATATACGCGTGGCCATGTGAGAGCATTTCGAGAGGGAGGGCGGGTCCAGTCCACTCTCGGCCATACCAGGGCATTTGAGGGCCCTACACCATAAAACATCGCTCGTCGGGGTAGTCGGTGGTTGTGCATACGTAACACATTTCCCAGCCATCCCAACTAATGAAGTTTCACTACTTCATCAATTGATATGCCATCCTTACCTAGTACCCGTTTCCTAACAACTGCATTACTTACTTACTCGATGGTCCCAGGATATACGAGCAATATTTCGAAGACACCTATGATCAAATACTAGTAACCTACGTATATCCTCCACTCTTACCGGCCATGTTTCACTGCCATAAAGTAGGACGGAACGAACTGCTGCGCAGTGAACACGTCCTTTGATTGATAGACGGATATCTCGCCTACGCCATAAATGACGCAAGTTGGCAAAAACTAGTCGAGCCTTCTGTATCCGTGCTGAGATTTCGTCACACACCAGACCACAAGGGCTGATGAGACTTCCAAGATAAGTGAAGCGGTCGACACGCTCAACTATTTCACTCCCTATAATTAGTTCGGGTGTCGATGCGACCCAATCCTGAAGTAACATTTTGCATTTCGGTGGGGAGAATCTCATCCCGAACATGCTTGCATTGTTGCTTAGAGTGGTCAGAAGACTCTGGATTTTGTCAGCGTCTTCATTAAATGGAACTATGTCATCAGCATATTCTATGTCAAAAAGTGAATCTTCCGGTAGAAGTTCAACCCCTGGAAATTTAGATGAAGAAAGTGTTATCTCCAAAAGCACGTAAACAACAAAGTTAAACAAGAATGGAGAGAATGGACAGCCCTGACGAACACCACTTGAGGTAATCAATTCTGATGACATTTCGCCATAAGCTCTCGCTCTACCAGTAGACAGCCTTTATAAGGTTAATGTACTTCTTTGGTACTCCTTCCAGTGACAAACACTGCCATAGAACTTCACGATCAACAGAGTCGAATGCTGCCTTAAGGTCGAGAAATACTACGATTGTGGGGCGCCTGAATGTGTGTCTGTGTTCTAGAACCTGATGTATTGTCAATATCTGGTCTATACAACCACGTCCAGGTCGAAAACCAGCCTGATTTTCTCTAATCTGTTCTTCACGAGCTTTGGTTAGGCGTCGAAGTATTATTGAAGCTAATATTTTAGACACTATATTTGTCAAACTGATTCCTCTGTGATTGTCACAAGAGGACTTGTCCTTTCTTATGGACTGGCACAATCAGTGATTGAGACCAGTCAGATGGGATTACGTCCAGTTCCCAAATTCTACCTAAGACCTCAGTTAATCTCACTGCTAATACTGAACCATCATCCTTAAAAATCTCAGGAGTAAACCTATCAGGGCCTGCTGCTCTCCCTCGCTTCAGATTTCCTATGGCTTTTTCAACTTCGTAAAGGGACGGAGGACTTACATTAACTTGCCATTCAGGTTGACTGGAGATCGTGGGAAACCGAAGTGTGGCTGAAGGCCAGTTGAACTGATCCCTAAAGTGTTCTGCCCATCGATCCAATCTCCTGGATTGAGAATGTATAATATGTCCATCTTTCTCTGAGAGTGTTTCGCTAACGGTCGGGTTCCTAATTCCGGTTTTCTTAACGAGTCTGAACAATTGTCTGCTATTACCTATTGCCGCTGCCTTTTCCATCTCTCTTGCTTTCGCTACCCACCACTGTTCACGATCATTGCTTAGACTTCTTGTCAGCTTGTGCTTAAGCAGACTCCGCTCTTCGTTATGTTCAGAGCCAGGTGGAATTACTTTCCGAGCATCTATCAGTGCGACAGATGCTGCTGAGATCCAGTGTTTCTCCTTAACCTTGTGGTTTACCTTACTAGCAGATATCACTGCTGTTTCCACAGCTTTTCGGATATTATTCCATGCTGCCTCGGGGTGGGCATCACATACATGGCTGCCTAACTGTTTTCCTAGTTGTTCCTGAAATATACTCTTAGCTTGACTATCATTAAGTAGGGCCCTAAGAGGTTTCCTTGCAGGATCTTTCCTACGTCCAGTAAGACGCAAGCAAATACGCGCTCGCACTAGAGCATGATCTGAATCTAGGCATGTGCTCCAGAATGAGCGACAGTCTTCTATCGAGCCCCTCCATCGGTGGCTGATAGCGATGTGATCTATTTGGGTCCAACGTTGGGACGAATTAGGGGGTCGCCATGTTAAAAGATGTTTTTCCTTATGCTTAAAGTTAGTATTTGCAAGGAACAGGCGGTTATCTGAGCATAGCTGCAACAGACGGTCGCCATTATCTGTTCTTTGAGCCACGATGCTATAAGATCCACCCAGGTGTCTTTCCCTATCGCTTAGTTTACCTACTTGAGCATTAAAGTCACCGGCCACTATTACTACATCCGAGCGCCTAGCTTTTAGGAGGAGGTCGGAGAGCTTTCTGTAAAACTCATCTTTTACATCATCTGCTCTGCAGTCAGTGGGAGAATAGGCAGAGACGACGAAGAGGCAACGACGAGTATTCCTATCTTTTCGGATCCTTACTGTTCCGTTCAGTCGGACAACGCACAAACGACTGTCTACTGGAATCCACTCTAAGAGAGCTAGTTCTGCCCTAGGACTCAATGCTATACCTACGCCGGCGAGGCCACGGGAAGCAGAATCAGGGCTTCCAGATACACGAAGTGTGAATCGAGTTGGTTCTTTATTTTGGCCTGGTGAGGTCAAGTGAATGACGCTACTCGGATCCTGTATGCGCGTTTCGGAGACGCAGCACACATCGATGGCGCGAGATTCTAAAGTCCTAGCTAAGGAAGCCTGTTGTCCTATTTGGCACAGTGTTCGGACGTTATAAGCTCCAACATGAAGTGTAGAGCGTGGTTTCAGGAGACCAGGAATGGCGTTCCGCGTACTCGAATCGTTTGCCCTAGCGGTGCAAGGTGATAAAGGGACGTGAAAAGGGTTAGTCGGGGAGATAAAAGAGGTATTAGGTGTAGGGAGGATTCGAATGTGACCAACTTGGTTTCGTGTGCTGTTACGGGTATGAGGGGTGATGTCACTTCCCGGCTGCCCACACCATGGAAGGGTATTTCTTGAGGAATCTGAAAAGGAAGTTGGATTAATGTTGGCCTTAACGACCTGGGAGTGTGACCGCAGAGCCCAAGGGACAACTGTTTGAGGCCGGTCGCGCACGACCTTTTTGTGGGAAGTTTTTGACGTGTTAGCTCCGTTCTTCAAAGGGCCTTACCGTCGGAGACAGAAATCCGTGAGGTAAGGTGAGGTGTGATATTTTTAGGGTCGAACTTTTCTAACCCCTTCCTTCCTTGTGAGAAGGCAGCATCGCTGCAGATGCTGGTTGTCCGAGGGAAACGACTTACTGCTATCACTCCCTTACAGTCAGCAGTACGACTTCGCCCTCAGACCTTGAGTTGCTGCTTTTAGTCTTACCGTTCTCCGATCGACCTGCCTGGCATGGTAGGACCTACAGGAACATATGCTCCAGCCAATATAACTCGATTGGGTCATCACGATAGGCAAGCCCGACCACCGCGTCAAGGTAGCAGCTACGGTCGGGTATTCAAACGGAAATACATTTTAATGACTAACGTATGTTCCGATATTCCTTTGCTATTCAACTTTTTTTTATGAACTGATGCAAGAAATCTTTTAAGACAACTTTGGAGAGCCAGTACTATGTAAATGGGATCTTAGTGTGTTAAACCGAAAGACTCTCAAACCAGAAGTCTTCACGATGGTTTTCCCAATCAGCTCATAACATTTAATGTTGTGTTCTGTTAGTTGTGGATGAATTAATTATTTCGTGTTTTAATCTCATGCAGACTGTTATCTGAAAAGTATGAAATGCCGGTTCCACGTTCCGTCTTCATGTCATCTGAACGTCAAGCAAAGTGTCGTACACTATTCAATGACTATCTAGCTGGAGCGATGCATCGTTTACAAAATATGTTCAAAGAAACCCAACGAATCATCTCAGGAAACAGGGACCAACTCGAAAGTCGTGGTGAAGTTAGCGAAGAGAGGCAAGAGCGGGCGGAGCATTTAATGTCAGCCTGTCGTAAATTTCATGAGTCCTTAAGTACTTTAGCTGATCTTTTGGACGCAGATCCACCACTTGATTTTTCATCTATGATAAAAGGCAAGTTTGATTTCATTGTGTATATATGAGACAACTCATAACACCGGATACCAAATACAAATGATTTGTGTATATCAACCAAAAAATACCTTCAAAATAATACTTGGGTGTTGTGCAACTAATAAGTAAGCATTGCTGGTATTAGAAGATGAGTGTCGGATAGACACTGTAAATTAGTTAATAAGGTTATAAAACTTCATCCACTGATGTCGTTCACGTACGAGTCACTCCTGTCCTTTCATCGTCTGTTCCCAGTTGGTTATAATGGCTAGTGTAGAAGCAGGCTAATAAGAAACAAAAGGTTAACAGATTGAAAAATAATACCGGTTCATGAAAAAGGTGATTGTTAGTCTGTAACACAGTGGAGTTGCAGTCTTCGTAATGTGATCTCACTTGATAACCAAATGTAGTGGTTATAAATTAGGTAATATGGTTGGGCGCAGGTACCAGTGGCACTGATATATTCATTCTGTATTTTTTTGTTTCTGAAATATTCTATTATTTCTTGCCTTTTATTATTGAGTTCATTCATTTCAGTTGATTATTCTTTTCAATTCAGCCATATGTGAATTGTAAAGAAAAGATATGGTTGTTTAATTAGTATGAAGTATTATCAACTTGTTTCACATAAATAAACAACACTTAGGGGTTTGTATAGGATTGAGATATAGTTATCCGGTCATGTAAATTGGTTGATTGATCGCTGAAGTTGTAATGTAGCGCAGTAGTTAATGGAACCAACTCACAAGTTCAGGTTCCAGTTCATCTTTATTGACTTAAATGGCTTGATAGTTAAGTTCCGTTCAAAGACTTGTACCTGGGTCAGTATATGAATGCTAAATTTCGAATTAATCTGGTTATTATTGGTCCGAGTTCAACTCTATCGTAGGTTTCCTTTGAACTTCAGTACTGAAAATAACAAAAATAGTGGGTTTCATAACCCATGCCATACAAGACGGTGTAATTGTTAGTTGAAATACAAGCGAGAAAGGCTTGACTTAAACACCAAATAAGCCTACGATAAAGGGGCTCTAAGTAGACCACGCTTTCGAAGAATGTTATTAAGAGATTTATTTTGTATTTAGGTGCTCATTAACTACATATAATGGTATGGTAAATTTAGTTTCCTTCATTTGACTTTTTGTATTACTCATTTATCCAGACAATTTACGATAGGTAAATTGACCATATTGGTTTAATATTTTATTGCTTAACATATTATACAACTCAAATTAAATAACATCTTTGTCGTTTATAGATGAATCTATGTCAGACCTGACCGCATCTGATTCAGTCGAAGTAAGTGATAAATCTATTAATCATCAAATTTAAAATTACAGAAAGTTATTCATGAAGAGGTTAATCTGTTTGAAGATGAAGATACACGTTTATTTTACGAAAGTCTACCTGATATCAAAGCAATGGTACCTGCGGTTAGTTACCTGTTGTTAACTTTTTGTACTGTTTTTACTGCTTTGTATTTTGTATTGTAATTATCTACATCTAGGTAACCTTTAATCCTGTTACTCGGATATGGTCTAGTGAGTATTTGATTTATTCGTTTACAAGTGATACTTGGCTAGCCTTAACACATGTTTTTAAAAATCCATTTTATTACTCTACTGAAAACGTCGATTAAATATGGAATATTGTACCTCATAGTTTCAACTAGGAAAAATGTTATGAGTTTACTGTTTGCCTCAATGTGTGTAAACGGTCTTTTAGTGTTGACAAAGCAATTAACTTCCAAATCATTGTCTTCATGATTGTTTTTGTGATGTATTTTTTCTAGAAAGTTTTGCTTAGTCACCTGTGAAACATTTCTGTTCCATTAGTTACATAATAATAGTCAGTTTCTGTGAGTGGGACTTTTTGTATGAAAATTATCCACAAAATAATTGTATGTTTGTTTCCTGTTTTTGCTTTATTACCGGTACCAGTATATATTTATCATGTGTACTTTGTTTCCTAATAGATCCTTTATAAAGAAAGTGAACAAGCTGGTGTAGAATCAAATCAGTCAAAGAATGAGGATGGAGATCCTGCCGGAAGTGAAGGTAAGATTTACTTCCAACATTTTCATAAGTTCCTCATAATATTTTATGGATGTATTTTTGGGTCAAGTGAATTTTATTTGTCAATGTTGATGCTATATAAAATGCATTTAGTTGCCTTTTTTGTTGGGTATTTATAATTCATATTTAGCAAAATTACAGCACTATCTATTCAACGAACATACCTGATTCATAAAAAATATACCGGTTTGTGCTTTTTATGGTTTCCAATCTTACTCTCGGCTTGGGTAATCAAGCACAAAATATAAGGTATACATGTCATGAACTCAATTCTTGTTTCATCATACTGAGCGACAATTTGTTATACACGACCTCGAAATCAAATACTTGAAAAAATCGTCTTGATTTGTTTATTAATAATATTCTAAATCATTCACTAAGTACAGATTTACATGCGTCTTCTTGAGCCATACTTTAATGACGGCTAGTAAGGGCAGGATTTAGATTACAACATCGATTAAAAGCCAAGTGGTTCGGTCACTAAGTGACCCCCCCTCAATAGATTCGTTTACTCGTACTTCATATTAAGATATATATACTATGTAGTATTAACTAATATTTACTTACTGTTTTATTTTCAAGTAGTATTGATTTAGTTTTTATCTTGTAATGCCGTGGTCGACATATAATTTGGTTTTTGTTTAGGGTATGACGTGCACATATTCAAGCAACTCACCCACTGCATTTTCATTAAAGTCCTCATCTGAACAAATGATCAATGGTGTGGTATTTATGTTCTTTGCGCTTAACTAGTATCCATACCAAAGGTCAGGTATACTCGTTATTTTACTATTTCTTTAGTCGTTAACTCCTATCCTGACTAAGAAAGCTGTGAAATAAAAATAAATATAAATAGATAAAAGATAACTTTACTTATTTTACTAATGTAGGAACACAGGTATTTGATTACTTACTTTGAAGTAATATCCTCATGTGTTGGAGTTGGGTTGTAAACATTGAAAATAATCGAATCTAGGAAGTCGTCATTATAAATCAATAAAAACAGTCAAAGCTGTATGTATATATATCCAGTCAATATCCTTCATATCCCATGTTAGTTTGAAATATTAATGTCCACATACCTCAATGTATTTCGCAATTAACATGAGACCAGTTTACGAAGTTTTTGAATGCTAGTCTAAACTGTGCATTACAAAATGTAAGGTAGTTGATCTTAATGATTTATGACCAGTTAATTGACTTAAAACACAATACCTATGAAAAGGGATTATGCGAATCCAGATGTTTCTTCGGGATTTGTTAACAAGTATTGCTACCAGTTACAACTATCAATTCAATAGTCTATGTATGTCAAATTTTAAAAAGATTCTTGTTGACCCTTAACATCTTTGTGATCATTAGCTCTGTTCATTTGACCAACTGAATTTTGTCATAATTGTCTTGCTGTGAACATTTTGATGTTATATTGCAATCTTCTCTTCATTCATTGTAGATATTGATATTGACACCGTTGAATCAGAATTAGCTAAAGAAGAAGCATTAATTCGAGTATCAGAAGATGGTAATGAATCAACTAATTGCACATCTATACCTGATAAATCAAAACCATATCTGTTAAATACCGATGATGGTATGTTTTTTTCACAATGTTTGTATTCAGTGATTATTTGCTGTTTTATGTTGTAAAGGTTCATGATAGAATTTGAAGATGTGATGTACTAAGTCTTTTATACATAATCTCGAGATTTTTAGTGCAACTTGTTCGAACTATGATATACAGTACTTCTAGGAATGTTTCTGTTTTACATACTCACTGAATCCTAGTATTTCATGCTTTGGAGTTTAGAACTGGTTTAATGCTGCCGCGTGTAAACTACTTTATGATCATACGATCCTGATAATTACATTGACATATCGTTGTGTCTACTGTGAAACTCGAAAATTCGTTTTTTGATTTCATAGCGATGTAATTTAACAACTCAGAATTACGTTTACCCAATTCTCAGATATACAAGTCTAACTTCTTACAATAAACTCCCCTGCTTTGGTAACCAACAGCAGTTATTGTTCGTAACATTTGTGTTTTTCACTTTACGGGGATAACTTCTGTCATTATTCGTACGTTTGTTTCAATGTTTTTCATGTCGTTAGGTGAAGAAGATCTAAATCCTTCGGGGAAAGTTCTCATGGAAACGTTTTTAACGCAATTACCAAACTGCATTAATCGGGATCTCATCGATCGAGTAAGTAAATATTATGTCTGAAAACTTGCACTAAACCTCTCTGAATTTCGGCATCAGAATTTGTTTCGGTATATTTGATTGGTTTTATGAGGGATTCAGAAAAAACATATACTTTATTATCAGTTTGTCTTTAGTATCACTAATTTTCACTGAAAATCCACAGAATATGTTTCCCATAGTTTAAAAGTCTCAGATATTAAGTCTATTTTCACCCATAAATCTAAAGACTGTAGTTTTATGACAGTATTAATTGAAGTGATTAGTATTCTTATTATTATCTTACAATGTATTTATTCCTGACTTTCGACTAGTATCGGGAACTGCAAACGTTCAACAACAACCACCTTTCGTTAAAAGTGTTAGTAAATCACAGCAGATTAAAAATACTCTTTGCTTTTGTGACTTGGCAACAGTTGTCATTGGATTTACATGTGTTACTTTTTCTGGAAGAAATCTCGTACAATGTATTTTAGGGATTTCGGTAAAACAAACAAGTTCATGTGAATATCGAATAATTCTTTTTATGGTGTTACCTCTTTAGCCGTATACAAGTAAGGGTAATTTCCAAATAAAAATGGTCGGATAATTTGTAATATTACTAAAATAGTCAATTGGCAAAATTTGTCTGGGTTTACACATCTTCTTCAAGGGATTGGAATAGTACATCTAAAAATTCAGAATATAAAAGACAATGTTTGGACTGCAGGGTTTAATTCACTTATGGTCATACTAAATTAAAATATGTATGTATGTTGTGTCTTTACATGTGTTCTCTTCACTTTAAATTCAGTAGTTCCTCAGAATTGCTAATGTTAGCGGATACAGAACACGGTAGATCACATAAGGGAAATATGTATTTTGGTATGATCTTGACAATTCTTACCAAGGTAATGGCTTTAAATATGCGTCTCATTTAAAAAGTGGCATTTTACTTTGATGTTAATCTAAAGAAATGACTTAATTTCCAGTTACATTGTAAAAAAAATGTGTTAAGAATATTGCAGCTACTTGATTAAATGATGGATTCTTTGTTTTTAAATGAAGTAAACACTACCTTTTTAATTTCCATCTCAGGCAGCTATCGACTTTTGTTTGAATTTAAATAAACGAGCCAATCGTCGACGGCTTGCTAAAGCTTTATTTAGTGTTCCAAGAACGCGTTATGATTTATTACCATTTTATGCGCGCCTTGTGGCTTCATTAGCCCCAGTGATGCCTGACTTGGTACAAGATATCAATTCTATGCTTACTGCAGAATTCCGTTGGCGTCTATCTAAACGAGATCAATTAAATATCGAATCCAAATTGAAAGTGGTTCGATTTATTGGTGAGTTTACATAATATTTTCGTAACTTGGTAATGTATACTTGGTGATTTTATACTACTTTGACTATAATGACATTAGATTTGTAATCGGTCTAACTATGAGTTTTAAAATGTTACAGGTTAGTTTCATACCCTTAGGTTTAATTGTGGTTAGCGACTTTGCGCAATATGGCTCAAAATTGTTCACAATAGCCCAAATGCATTCACCTTTTATCTTCCTCTCGATCCTAAATTTCAGTATGCCTTCATGTATATCTACGCACTCTGTATTTTAAAATCACATTCTTAAGGCACAGTCTTTCTTTATATCATTGACACTTATTTCGATTTCTTGTTATTTTCATCTTGTCATGCTAATCAATTTTTTTAGCTTGCCCCAAAGCATATGTGAAACTCTGTTGATGATGTCTGTACATGTTTAAATAATGTTATTACCTTATAGACTAAACTTAGCAGCTACTATGCATTTATCACGCTTTCAGTTATTGTATGTACATACTAAATTAGGCCATTTCTTCGGTAGATTTGTGTTTCAAGGTTTATGACTACATTTTCTGTGATTTCGCTTATAGGCGTTGTTTAGTTATTAATGTCTATTCATGCTTCCAAATAAAGTTGTTTATAAACTCGAGAGTGTTTTCCTCTGATTATTTTTATTTTTAGGGGAACTTGTCAAATTTAAGATTTATCCAGCTCATCAAGCTTTGACTTGTTTAAAACAACTTCTTCCTCAATTTGTACACCATAACATCGATATGGCCTGTGCTTTATTGGATACTTGTGGGCGTTTTCTTTATCGTTTACCTATATCACATAAACGTACAAAAGTTTATTTGGAAATAATGCTTAGAAAAAAAGTTGCTTTACATATGGATCAACGTTATTCTATTATGATTGAAAATACATATTATTATTGTAATCCACCACCGTCCAATCGCCAGGTATCTTATGATTCATAAATATGATATACAATACTAACAGTACATTATTAACTTTCATATTGTACTATTTTTTTTACTTATGTTTTGTTTTTATAGCTCATATTGATTGTTCGGTTGGTATAATTTACCCTGTAAATATTTTGAGTTTATCGTATATGAATCAAAAAGCATACACAAAACTTGGTAATAAATGCTGAGTTATAGTAATAATTTAAATTATTTATTCATTAATAAGGCGGTCAGTAATCACATAAATTGTTAGAGAATTCTAATGGAGCCTCATTTACTAAGTTTGCATAGCATAGTGTCTAAATGTTTTAACGATAGCAGTGTCAAATATACATTCAAAAACGAATTGGAAAGTGAAATTTTTTAATTATAAATACCTTTTAGTTTGTGTAATTAGTACTCGGAGTTATTTGTACTACTTCATTTCATTGTATAAATAAGTAAATCAGATGTCCAGTAGATTTGTAGTCCATATATATAATCATTAATTCGTCTATCTTTCTCTTTCTAAATGGTTTAGATTGTCGAACCTGTGAAGTTGACACCTCAAATGATGTTCATACGTCATATTTTGCTAACGAAATTAGACCGAACTACCGTTAATACTACTTTACGGCTAATTCGAAAAATGGATTGGGATGATCAAGAAGTAAGTGTAGACGTTTTACTGTCAAGATTTTACAAATTTCATCGCTTTCTGTGTTCAGATTAATAACTTTAAAATTGTGGGTAATTATTGAGCTTATTGTACAATAATTTATAAGTCGTCTTAATGTGTACCTGATTTGACAATAACCAACAGCATGTCGCAAAAAGATTGATCTTCAGTTAAGAAAACTTATTCCAAGATGAAGACATCACAGTTTTGGGTATGATTTACGAATGTAAACATCGAGTTTTCATTCGCTAACTGTTAAGTGTGAGTCATATTCCACTTCAGTCAAGCTAACCGGTTACTGCAATCAGTCCTGACGACAAGTCTCTTAGAAAATCATTTGAAGACTCCGCACTTGGTTACTAAATCTAAATAGTCTTCTGACTTCATACTATGCAACATTTTTTCCTGATTACAGTTCCATGTTATCATGACTATACCTTAGTGGTCCACCAATTTACTGTCTCTTGCTTTTTCCAGTCACGTCGTATCACTAATTTTCACTCAACAGATATAAATAAATAGTCCATAATTGTTGGCATGGCGTTTTAAGTGCTTCGTTAATAGGTCTTAGTTAGCTGAGTTTTATTGTTATTGTTGTGGATGCAGAGGAATAGACCAATAATTATCATGTTAAGTCCAGTGGTGTCCTTGGACTTTAAATGGATATTTCCTATTGGTCGATATCTGTTCACTTGTTGAATATTGTACAAAATGTTGTTTTCTATTTTATGGTACGATGTGGTATGCTTGATTGGTATATAAACAAAGTATGTTTGAAATATAGTGATTCATATCTCCGAGGCTGTGACTTGTGTTCTGGACTCAACTAACTGGGCTAGACAGGGAAGTGGGACCAATCGAGACTCTAGGCCGTCCGTACGTGTTTACGTGTCACTGTAATCGATCGATAACACAGGGTAGAAATCGACAGCAACCTAAAGTCATAACAGTTATTGAGTTTCCATTTAGGTGTTTTCTCTCGTTCCAATGTGATTTTCCTGAAAACTTAAATAATGTACCATTTATCGAAAAAAATTCTCAACACACATCTGATTCATTCTTGTGGCTACTTTGTCTTTCAATAGCTTGTCGAATTTACGTGCACCCTTTTCACTAGGGCGTGGGATGTTCGCTATACGAATATAAATTGTCTAGCCAGTGTGTTATCTGGGTTGGCTACCTATCATTCGGACTTTGCCATGGCTGTTGTCGACAATGTCATCGAAGATATCCGTGTGGGAATGGAGGTTAGTCAATGGCTTTTTTTCGAAAATGAACATTTTGGTCTAATAATTTTCTTTCTATCACTGGCTTAAATGCATCTCATAAACTACCGAAGACTGGCGGCCAGTTGTAAATGTTAGCAAGTTTTAAGTTTTCAACTATATACAAAAAGATGTAAATTAAATGAATCATTTATGGTACACACCGATCAGTATCCAAAACGTCCTACCCACCTAAAGTGTACTAGATATAGAAGTATTCGAATTCCTTACTCGTTTGATAAAAATAAAATACATTTACGCCTGACCTGAGTGACAGTAATTTCTCTATTGCTGTCTCTGGTGTCTTAACCGTTACGTTATTTTATGACACTTTTCTGTCAAAATAGTCATCTGTATATTCTTTTGGGTGTTTTTTTATTACAAAAGTCTGTTTAGTGCTCGTGAGTTTGTCGATTTAAGAACTGTTTAAAGCAAGTAAACAGAGTGCCATTCTTAACTTTCTTTATCATGTCATTGTACTCGGTTAAGTAACTGTTGTAATCACTATGGTTTCATTTTCACTTCTGATCGACTTAATGACCTTAAAATTTGTATTTAGTTGTACATGTTCACCATCAGAATATATGGTAGTTTACCTTATTTCAGGCTCGGAAAGTTGTATATGATTTCACTTCTATTTGCTTTTCAGCTCAACCTTCCCAGTTTAAATCAGCGTCGAATCGTAATGGTCAAATACCTTGGTTTGTTGTATAACTATTGTCTGGTGGATTCTCCGGTGATATTCAAAACACTTTACTCTCTTCTCACATTTGGTGTTAGCTTGGATCGTAAGTTACCAATGCAAATATGTGTACATTATTAATATTTCTTGTCAGTAGTTGAAGGACGATTAGTCAATAAATTATTCAGTTGTAGAGTAATCAAGTGGAAACTTTTCTCAGTGTACATTTCCCTCAAAAAGAACGACTGTTCTATACATATTTGCGTCATTGGTAGCCCGCCAAGATCTCTGATAAAATATGTAATATATTTATCAATTGTCACTTGCATGGTTATATATGATTGTTTTGAGTGTGCTGCTCTTATTCCAAATAATACATCACATTTCTTCGTGAAACAATTTTCCCTTCATTTTTATAGTTGATTTCCCAAGTGTTATCGACCCGCCGGATTCATTGTTTCGAATTACATTAATTTGCACGCTACTTGAAACATCTGGAAGTTTCTTCGATCAGGGTAAAAAGCGACGAAAATTGAACATATTCCTTATATACTTTCAGGTAATTATAATGTTGTTGTTTATTCTCAAAGAAAGTAAAAAATAATTTACTAGACAAGAAATTTTTAATACGTATGCTTCCTAAGGCGTTTATTATAAGAAATTGATCAATACGTATTGAGTAGATATAAATCCTTTTTGTATGTTTGTATTGAGGATTTCCACAGATAAACTCCCTATTAATAATTTATTCATTTTTAACAGGATAGCGTCGTGAAGATTGTTGAGTCTCATTAAAATCATGAATCGATCAATGTTAGACAATCGTTGTAAACCTGGAAGTACTGTACGTAGTTTTAGTAGTTCGTAAGCCGTCTTAGTTTACTGATAACGCAACGTGTGTTCGAATACAGAGACAATAATTCATTTAACGTCTCTATCTGGACACACCGGCTTCGGTGGCTTGAACATGAACTACAAATACTGTCCCATCAGTCAGTCAGTCAGTCAGCTACAGTGTAGGACCAGGCACATATGTGCATCGGTTCAGGTTGCCATACCGCATCAGCACAACAAGATGAACACTGGATTCATAGCAGTGATTAGGTCAAAGGTGGTAATATATAAGAGAAAGATTGCATATAGAGATATAGTACAAGAAGAAAAAATTGGTTCGTAGAAAGAAAGATATGAAGCGATTTTAATCTCTTAGTTTAAGGGAAGACAAAGAGTGTATACACCGACGCCATTGTGATCGATTCTGAGCCATGCCACCAAGAGTCTCCAACCATTGGTTACGATAGCCACGCGGACCCCAACCAAGTAGTCTGCATCTACCAACATGGCTCAGACTAGAAGTTAGTGACTTCAGGGACTGATGCCACGTTTTCACATCGTACATTATTTGTCAACTCTGGGACTACTTGGAAGAAACAGGTGGTCAGTCTGTGGCATAATCTCGTATGAAAGAAAGCTGTACAGTACTAGCATTTGTCGGTCACTCGCGGTCCCGTGGTTAATGTTCTAGAGATAAATCAACAAAATGACTTCAGACGTCATCAGAATAGAAGGTAATGGCGGTTGTATTGTAATTTTCTCATAAAAGTGAGAGAGACTAACTGAAAGAATTCTTCCTGGTTGTAGTTTTCTTGACTGAATGGCTTTTTTCATTATCTTTACCTTCACTTGTTTTCATTCACTTTCTGTTTTTCTAATTATACTCACTTTCTTTTCTCTATCTCGTCACAATCTCATTTCCTTATTGTATGGGACATATTTGTTTTGGTGCTTCTTTGTACCAACATATGTATTTGGATGAACAAATAAATAAGCGCTATCTTAAATATCTTATATAAAAACAATATATTCTTAAGACCAGTAGCTTCAGTTGATCATTTAACACAAATTCGTATCATAAATTTATTATGATGAGTTCAATTATAAATAAAGTTCGCGCTACTCAAGTTAAAAGTAATATAACATTCATTTACAGATTTTCAGATTTACTTTTAAAGTGTATACTATAAGTATATTTTCATGCATTGAACATTGTTGAAACCACTCAATTCCTTGACTACTTGAAATACGTGAAAGTTGTGAAATTAATAAGAATACAATATTTTTATATGAGGTTTGTATTACAAAAACGTATTCGTTAATTCAGTCATTTTTCTGAAATTCTCAAGTTTTAATGCACTTTCTCAATATCGTCATTAATATATGTGTTGTGGATGTTTCAGATAAAATCAAATTACTATCTCACTGTTGTTGACCAATTTTATTTTATACGTTTAACTGACACTTTTGGTACTGTTGATCATTGACACGAGAATTACATATCCGTACCTGTCTCACTGGTTATATTTTTCGGAAGTTGACAGTTTAACAAAAAATCTACGATTTGCTCTCGTGTCTATTGCGTTATTAAACTGGCAACTTCATTGTTGACTAATTTCTTCGATTGGTTAGGATTTTAAGCAAAGACTAAAGTGAATAGATGCTGCAAGTAGGTGAATAGGATTCACTTGGGATTATTGTCCTTGTTTTACAAATATGGTTGTACCCTATGTATCTCCTGGTCAGTTTTTCATCGTCTAAAAAATATTTTTTTCATCATAATTAGCGTGTTATGTATGATTTCTTCCACCAACGTTTGTTATTCTAGCGTTACTACTGGTTCAAGCGTTCTCTTCCTATATGGGTGCAGTCGAAAAACGACGCCGAGTTATTATCAGCCAAATCAGTAAGTGAAACGAAGACAGATCTCCATACTGGCGAACTAACGTCTTCGGTTGAAGAGCCTGCTGTAAATCATTCTGAAGATTCATTGGTATTAAATAATCCTGAATCATCAATTGATATCTCTGGTCTTAATTCAGATACCCAAACTAATCTACCTATGTTTGTTCCTGTGCGTTTTCCTGTTGCAGTAGAGCAACAATATTTTGAAACTTTACAACAGTTTCGTGGTAATGTTGGTCGAGCAAAAAATTTCACAGAAGCACAACGTCTCGTTCGTCATCTGGAAGCCCGATGCCTGCCACGCCTTGCACGCCTTAAGGCTACATATGGACTAACAAGTGAATCAGAAAACGTGGAAAATGGTCAAGACCTAAAAATTATTTCAGAGAACAAATCACTTCGACCAACTGGTCCCGGTCACATGGATACGATAGCTGAAGAGGCTGAACAAGAAGATGGTAAGGTTTTCTAACATTTGAAGTAATTGCACTAATTCCACCGCTTTCATGAAGAGTCATTGAGTACATTTAAATTCCCATAATTATCATGACCACAGTTTACAATCAAGTAATCAGGAACACATCGTGTGTGAATGACCCAATTTCTGTTACACAAACTAATTAATCTAGAAAGCAAGAATGTTATTTGTATGATAACGTTTTCAAGATTAGCGATTATTTTTATTGTAAATTAAGGCGTCTTATTTTGAAGCAAATTGTATTCAAAGTAAACAACTATGAGATGTTTTAGTCAATTAAAAACATGTCGTTATGTAATTCAGATTTTCTACTCAGTGAAAAAATAGCAGAAGGTAATTATAGTAAAATTCAATCTTTGGAATCTAAATTGGTTAATTTATAAGTCTTGTTAACAACTAAATTAACGTATTAGTTCGATTTTGAGACTCTGGTGTCTTTTATCCAACTAGCCTCGGCTTCTAATCATATTAATTTCTCTTGATGTAATATTGATCAGTATGTATTGAGATATTGGTTTCCATAATTACCGGGTACGTAACTAAATCACTAAAGAAAGAAAAACCTAAAAGCCTAAACACAATTCAGACGTGGATATCGATCGAATTTCAATCTTTCTTGGTATACTGAGAAACACTAGTATTCCGTTTTAGCCATATTCCTTTATCTGAAAATATTGTTGGGCCCAACGTGATCAAAGTTCTTATGCGAGTGTCTTCATGTACGATAAATGATTGTAGTGTTTCTTCAGCGTAAAGTTAATTAATTCACTCAAACCAATTCAGATAGGACTATCCAGAAAATTAATGTCCATGTAATTATTCCCAATCAAACACACGGATAACTATAAACGTCTCAATTATTTGCCGTTCGAGAGCAGTTTATAGTTTTTGTTTAACTTTTTAGGAGACATCCAACTGGGTGACGATGAGTATTCTATGGATGAAGAAGATTCTGATTTAGATGACGAAGATGAAGAACAAGGAGGTGAGACTCATTCATCTCAACGCCGTCAATCTACTGACTTGATAGAATCGGATGGTAGTCGTCGTCGTGCTCGCGTTGATAGCCAACAATCTCAAGAGGATGTTGATCTCACACTGGTAAGTGGCTCGGTTCATGCATAATATATATTGAAATTCAATGTTTAAAACCGTTATGCGAATAACAGTCTTCGTACATTCATGCGGTACGCTAATCACTTCACTACTCCAACTTAAATATCGTGAACGAAACTACCCGTATTCTCTTCTTTTCCCTACCCCACTTACTCAAGTCAAAATTCCAGACTTTGTAAATGAAGCTTTTCTATGTAGGTCCAGTGTAATCAATTCAGAATACAACAAGTTTGTCGATTATATATCAGTAAGAAAACGATGGTTAAAATATTTCAAACTGAGTATTTGTCACATTAACATAGATCATCGTAAAAATCTGTTGAAAGCCCCTTAATAGTGTTCCCACTGAATAATGATTTAACTGTAACAGAATCTCAATCTAATCGATGTTGGTTTGCTTTTCATAAGTTGTAACCGGTGATAATGCATCCTCAACAAATTTGTAAATTAATTTCGTCTGCATACTTTAATTTATGTATGCTCTCATTAACTCTTGTGAAATATTATCACTAGATGATTTGGCAATTTTTTTTTTACTGTATAAAGGAGAAAACAGAAGAAAAAGAAGCAGAGGAAGAGGAGATTGATCAGAACTATGAGTTGAAGCCACGATTTATTGATTGTCCTGAGGATACTGCGTTTTGTGAAGCTTTAGATAAAATGATCGCCGAAGCATTATTGTCATCTACATCAGGGAGTAATAGTAGTAGTGTCAGTGGTACAGTTACTAGTGTAACCAGTACTATCAATGTTAGTACTGATACAAATCCTGCATCATCTCGAACTCTCAGTGTGAATGTTCTTCCTACTCCAGAAATACTACAACTAGCAGCAGCAAAGAGTCGTTTAGCAATGAAAGAAGATGGCAGTTCATCGACAAATAAAGTTAACCAGCAAGCGATTAATCATCATAACTCAACCCTTCATTCTGTGCCGACAAAATCTAATGGAGATAATTTAGAAATTAATCATTCGGATACGTTGTCAGCTGTAAATGGTGAAGATAGTCAAGTACGTAACATTTTATACATAAGTGTGTTATCACCTAAAATCATATGTCTAAAATATTTCGTCAATAATTCGCCGAGTTGTGTAGCAAATGTAATCAGTTGAGACTGCAGTGGTCATGAAATATAATTTTTGTGTAATATTATTGTGATCAATTTTAAACTGTTTGAAATGAGCTCTATTTCCGTTACTTTTTAACACTACTTTTTAAGCTGTATGGGTTAGGTGCACTACTTCGAACGAGGATCACTGCATTATATCTTAAGGCCTGTCGAATACCATGTGACAAGATGGCTAGTCAGAATACCGACTTTTGTGACCGTGTCCCTGTGCTAAACCAGTGATGTGCCAAACAGCACTAGCAGCCATGGTCAACGTTGAATCTTTATTAGTCCTCTGTATGGTATCTTCTGGCCTGACCCAACCCGTTGAGTCCTAAACACAAATATCAGCCTCTGTTATATGAATCGTACATTTCAGACATACGTGGTTTTTATACAAGAAGACCAAATTGCATTATACCATAAAATGGAAAATAATAATTATCACAAATAAGTTGAGAATGGCAAATCGTAGCTAATGGTCAAATGAAAGCTTATGATATATATATATATATATATATATATATATATATATATATATAATCTGGTTACTTAATAATTATCCAATGAGAATATATATAATAATAGTCGATAAATGATTCCTATCAGTTACCATTCATTTATCCCTCGTTCGGATGTTACAAACTTTAAATTAATTCTGATTAAATTGGAAACAAAACAAATGAAAACTGAAATCTCGTATTCGATGAAAAGGAATGATGAAATATTGCTGACTGATGATAGACGGTTGCTAATATTAGGACCTAGTAATAGCTCAGTACGAAAAAACTGGACAACCCATCACAAACTTAATTTACTGGCCCGTAAACGTATACGTACATTTTCCGCCGTGATAACCATTCAAATTTACTGTCCTCATTTATAAAACTGCTGTAAATCAAAAACTTTCCTAATTGTTAAGGCGAAATCCATTCAAATCTTTATGCTTAATGATGAAATACCACTCTCACTTAATCCGAAATGGTATCAGGCTAAAACGATACATGAGCGTTTTTATGTATTTCAGAATTGATGTCTTGTCTTGCTTTCTATGTTTATAAACTCTTAATTTCAAACTGGCAATGTTTTCAGTAAAAAAATTTCTTTATTTGTGCCGTCTTAGTCCACAGCTAGTTACATATTATCCCATTCATTTGAGCACTGTAATTGTGTATGGGTACCATGTTAGTTCGTTTGCTCGGTATGTTAGTAATGAAACAGTACCGTTAGTCCAGTTCGTATTCGAGGCAATTTTAGCAAGTTATTCAGCAAATAGGACTGTTTTATACCTAGTATCTAAGTTGTCATCAGTTCCAGTTCTCGTGTATGTGTTTAAAAGCTAACATTGAAATATCCATGTTTTGAAATTCTGTAGTCTTATAATATGGAGATCTTCCCCTAAATGGAATACTTTTTGGTTGACATTAATGATGCTAGGATAATCCATTCTTGCCATACTTACTCTGATGGGTTAATGTGATCAGTATTATAGCACAAAGTTTATTATCAAATCTGTTGTACTTTGATTTGTTTCTCTAAGCTTATCGCATCGCCCTCACATATGTGATTTTACTGCTGAACATTACGCTCGTTAGAGGTTTTGCTAATCACATAACTGTTTTCTACTATTTTAGAATACTGTTCCCTTTACACTAGTTTCGCGTCGTGGAAATAAACCTCATCTAATTCCATTGGCAGTCCCGGATTCAGTACAATTCGCAGCACGTTATATCCAAGCTGCAGCTGCCGAGAGAGAAGAAAGGGCTCGGATGAAACAACTAGTACTTGAAATGCATGAAGCTCAAAAAGAAGAAGAAATGGAGTGGGGTTAGTCAGTAATAGCTTATATGGTTCCTTCTAAATTCAAATCTGGAGTTCATGAATTTATTTTTAGTCGTTTTGTAACCTATTCTCTTGTATAACAGTTTGGTTTCTGAATGTTAAAGTTTATGAGTTCTGCTGTATTATTGATAGGAATTCTCAATATTTGACTTTTATTACTAGGTCATTACGGAGGTCCAGATGCTGTTTTGGCTCATCAATTCCCCGTCAATGTGAACCGTGATCGCTGGGTAAAGTATAATCATCCAAAAGGAGCACCGGACGCCGATGTAGTTTTTGGAACACACAGGTAACTTAAATATCCACCACTATATGTTATCATTTTATTCTGCGTGAAGAAATAAATATACTCACCATTTTATAACGCTAGTCTTTTAACTTTGAATTTTTTCTCTAAGACTTGTGAAAAAATTATTACATTTTTCAATGTAGTGATTTACTACTTGTCAACATAATTTCAACTTCTGAAATTTGTTTTAGATGAATTAATTAGTTTTTTTATGTAATTTGGTTGGCTAGTGAATCAGTTTTCATTGTTATCTATCTGGATTTATGAACTCCACTCATGAAAGATTCGATGGCTGCCACTTTATTTATTGTTGTATACTCCTTACCGATTTAGACTGAGAAATTTTCGCTACTAGTTGCTTTCACTGCATGGCAACACAAGGTGCAGTATACCCGTACGTCCAAATAAGAGAGTGGAATTAAAGGTCGGAATCGTGACACAATAAATCGTGTTTATATAATAACAGATATGACCTTTGGACATATCATTTAGAATATACAAATGACGTTGTCGTACTTAAAAATAGTGATGCTGATGCTAGACAAAAGAGATAATTATATTATTTCGACGTCTTTGCTATTTATCTTGTTAGCCTCATCTCGTAGTGTTATTCTGTTATGGCAACTTGTGCCATCACACGTTTATGTTGGACTGTATGTTACGACTGACTGATTTGAAGAATACAGCAAATTAAGAGGAAAACTAGCCAACCAGGTATTAGCAAATTTGGTGAAATATGATTTCGAAATGTTAACGAGAAGTACTTGTTCATGAAAATTACTATGTATTAGTAAGAGTAATAGACAAATAATTTGAGGCATCCTTAGCATACAAGTATGTCAGTGTTTTAAGTTTCTGAAAATTAAGGTATTTTGAAAACTCAGATTTATAACTAACTTTAAAAAAAGGTTTTTTGCTTTTAGGATATTATCATCTATTGATGTTTGTTTGTTAATCAAACGCGGTTGTGAATGTGACTCCAGATGCAGAGATGTGTCTCTAAAACGATTAAATAAGAAAACTTTCAGTTTACTCTAGCAATATTTTAAATTAAAAAGATCAAGGACAACATTTCATGACCAGAATAATATGAGCTCATTTTATTTTGCTCAAAATTAACTCAATCTCTTGTATAAGATTGGTAGTATAAATTAGCTCAGTAATCCACGTAAAAATCAACGGTCATATATGCAAATTAGTTCATTGATGTTAAATATTTGTCTTCATTCACTCTTTGTTTTCTTGACAGTCAAAAACGATGTGCCAATTAATGAGCGTATCCTGTTAGAAAGATTTGTTAATCATGGTCATCTGTTTCAAAAAATGAGACAATTTGAAATGGGAGAAGTTATGGATTGTTCGATATTCAACGAATCCTTGTGTGTGTTGCACAGCATTCTATGGGCATAGCATGTGTGCAAGTATGTTGAGATGCAGTTTTGATGAGTTGAACAGACAAGATGTTTTAAAATGTAATCAATAAAAGAAATATGTATTTAAGTATTTTTTCCTTTCTTCCTTACTTTTCAATTGTTTTATAAAAAGAAAGTTTAAAAAAAAATACTTCTCATTAATGATGATACAAGTCACATAGTAAAATAAGGCTGGGTTTTGGTTGTATGAACTTATTTTATTTTGGATTTCAAATTATTTAGTGTATGTACTCATGTTTCCAAGTTCATTATTGTGCTGTTTTATTCATTCTGTTGTTTATTGTCCTCCTATGTAAGAAATAACTATGTTATTATCCTTTGAAAAGTTTAAGCGATTGCTATGAGATCGTTTATCTTTAACTATTATGTTGCGATCTTCACATTCAACAAGGACTGCTGTATTCTCATTCTTTGTCCGTCTCGCAGTTTTTGGTCATTCAAAATACAGTTGTTTTATTTCTCGTATAAGCTGTGTTCTTTTCAAATTTATGAAGGTTCGTTACGAACAATTATCTTAGTAATTTTCGAAAAAGAGCTTAGGCATATCCTGGTGTTGAAATAAATATTATTCTTTGTTCATGTCACTATAATAAACTATGAGGGGCGAAACTTGTTCACACTCGGTTTGTACAAAAATATCGGCTTACCAAATTTACGGACCATCACGGACATGTTCGAGATCGTTGAGTCTCATTCACCGGGTTGTGTTAAAGTATATGGTTCTGGACAGTAGGATATATCAGTTTGTCAACTCTTATTGGTTAGGAATAGGTTTTATGTTACGCAGATTATGTTGTCGATGATGACTTACATTAGTAAAGACCATTTCATAAGCATACTGTCCGTTTGGCTAAGTAGTGATTTGATTGTTACCGTTTTTAGATGAAATTGTTCGTAAACGATAATTCATTTTAATCGCTAGACTAACATCATTCTTCGCAAATTTTCGGTAGGCCATACAATCACTAACTTGTTGATTCAGTCGAGTTAATATATTTCCAGTTAAGCTTATTTTAGTGTTCGTATAAGACATTTGTTTCGTAAACATCCTGCCGCGTTATTCAAAATCTAATGTAATACATTCAAGTGCGCACACTGTTATGACCCAGTCGTGACCATTGGAGTACGTACTGGTTAGATCTAGGAATTCCCTAATCCACATGTAACAATCTGTTATATCCGAGTGGAGATTAAATTACAGGTAACTCCCGAGGACTATTCATGGACTAATATTCTATAAATATTCTTATTGTATAACTATTCAACAATTACATTATGTATATTTATATCCCTCTTATGACAAGCTTTATTTTGGCCTATAATTTATTATTGTACGATTTACGGTTCTTGAGTTATGTTCAGTTTATTAACTACTGCCTCCCACATTCACAGCCATTTTTTGGGCTTATTTGTGTACAAATATTATTTCCTATTTTATGGTACGCTGCGGTCTGTGTGATTGATATATAAACCAAGTATGCCTGAAATAAACGATCTGCTCTGATTCGAAGCTGGTATTGTGTTCTGGACTCAAGTGGAAGGGCTCGTGGACATAGGACCAATAAGGACGCTAGACTGCCCACACCGGTTGAACGTCAATGGTTGGCCTAGTGTAAAGATCCGTATAAGTCGTATCCGGATTGGTCGATAGGTCGCGTGATAGCAAAACAAGACATCCAAGGTCATAACACAATCGATACTACTAAATCTTCGAAATATCTTACTTGTTAGGTTATATTTTGTTTGCCTATGAACAACTTCAGTATATTGCACTTCCCTAATAAGATTTATGTCAATTTGGACATCACCAGTAAACCAAAAGGTATCCTATGTAGTGAATTTAATTTCACTCGGACTTAACAGTATGGGTAACGTTTTATTGCGTGTTACCTACCGGATTTTATCTAAAGTTTGTTGTGTGACAATCAAGCCAAGTCACTAAAAATCCCGCTAGGACTTCATTTGAAAAAATTCACATTTGGACTTATATACTACGGTATACCTTCACTCGGTAGTTATCAGTAAAGACAAGTTGTATTTTACGGAAGATATATAAAACAACAATCAGAATTGGATCATATTGTTCTAATGCTGGAGTTAATGAGGTAACAAACTAATCAATTCGGTACAATCTCTGTTAAACTGTTAAGTATGATCACCCAACTAGCATGCATCCTTATTGTAAAAGCTAACATCTCTCTCGCGAAGATACAGATCACAATGGTTGACACAATCCCTAGTAACATTTTACTCTAAACCACAGCTTCCGAACCTGATATAGGAACCCTTCTCAATCAAAACAGTACTTATGATAAATATACCATCTGTTACACAATATTCCAACTCTCAAATAATCAATGACTGACTTTGGTATTTTGCATTTACGGTATCATAACTTTGTACAGAAACTGATCAACTTTGAAACAAAATGAACTTTTGTATACAAGAAAAATAAATGAAATCACAGTGGTAATTCATCTGGTCTTATGGCAAGTCTAACATCTTCAGGAAATAGTTCACTGGCTCTTGAGTGCATTGCACGATAAGTACATGTGATAGTAGCCTCAGCGCATCCCGCCACATCACCAATTTCTACAAAGGAAATTATCACATTGTTTATTAACAGATAATAATTGGATGTAATATAACGTTTAGGTACATGTTTTGAGGATTTTTATCTACGCTGCAACCTGAAAGTATCTTCGATAGCATAAAGTGGTCAATATTTGTGTCATTTTGTCGCCTTTTTCCAAGCCTAAGCTATCTTAACTGGTAATTGCTTTTTTTTAATGTACTGAACGATTATTCGTTACAATGCTTAGCAAAAAGGCCAAAGTTAAGTGGTAGTTGGATTCCGAGCACTAGATTCTAGTTAATATTTATTCGTTTACAAATGAGAACCACCATATGTGTACCTAGTACAAGACATTTTATAGACCTTGGTTGGCAATCAAAGCTTAGCTATTTACGCTATCAATACGGCCCTAAGCAGTTCACACTATTAAGTTAGGACAATTCATGTAGTTCAATGCAAAACCTATAAGCTTACATTAGCTAATAACATAATTTAGGCGTAAATGACTAATATTTTGTTAACACAAACTAGATGGACTAATCAAATAGGAAGTTCATCATGACAACGTACGTACTACGGCAATATTGTTAGATACAATTACGTTTTTAAAATTTACATACATAAGCTGAACCATAACCACACAAGCAAACTGAAGTACAAAGAATGTTTTAAAATATCGTACACCTAGTTCATTTGCAGTCTTCCTACAAACACATAGAAAGTGCGGCTCAGAGCCGAGTACGAATTGCCTATAATTGGTGCATTAGCCACCTTTAGTTATGTATCAATTATCGAACGAAACGACCAACCAATGAGTAATGACCATTACGAAGAAAATTAGTTCACATGATGTCTGAGTGGTAATAATAGTTATCAGATACAAATAACTGTTCCACAAGGGTAAAGAAAATAGACTGCTGTAGTTTGGAGTAGTATCCAGGAATTTAACTTCTAATCCCTGCCCTCTGCTCTAATGGACCTTACTGAATATACAGCAGTAGTCAGCAGGCACTATTTCAACCTGATAATTATGTTTGCTATCTTCACTTAAGTGAATAACATTTACTACTGATCGCATTTATAGCGTACCAGCCAATTCGTATTCCTTCTGATGTAAATCTATAAACACATTTTTGTGAACGCTGCTGGTAAAAATTGAACTATGTTTAAGACAAAACGATTAATCAAAAACCGAAACGGTTATCGAATTAATGATTTGAGAATGTATTGATTATTTATACCTGAAATATTTTTACCAAGTTTAGTAAGTCACCAAGACGTTATCATATAACGTAGCAGATTCCTATCACTGATTATTTTACATAACATGAAAGTAAACATTGAAAACAATAACATATTCTATGGTTTGTGTGTGAAAAGAAACTGTGTTAATTCAACTCTATATAGATACATAGAATTCTAAATTCTTTTTAAAATCTAAAAACACTAACTTAATATACGAATATTCGTCAATATTTAAGCCAATAGTTTGACAGGAATTAGTCACCAAATATACAAATGTTATTTATGAAAATTATGTTTGAAATAATCTTAGTGATTGAAATTTAAATAATTCCAAAGTTTCGTCCAACAAACTTATCTGAACTTCTTCAGTGTAATAGTCAAGATCAAAATTATCAAAGAATATTTAATGTTCAACAATTAAATCTACACTAAATACTTATACAATCATATTCAGATGTTGACTTTAGCAACTAGGATAATAAATATGAGTCAGTAACATGTGAATCATGTGAAAAATTCATAATTTGAAATTAAATGAATGAGTGATTTTATGTATGGCTGTATATATGTAATTTCATGTTATTAATAGTTGATAGAAGATTTTAATTTGCTTTTTTGTTTATTAGAAGAATAAATGTGCAAATCGAAAATGTTTTCAAAACATCGATGTATATGTAAAATGAGAATCATCAAATACATAATTGTAATGATGAAATATTTAAATTAATTTCTATCAGCATAACTGTGCATATGAAACAAACAGATTGGATAGAGATATGGTCCAAATACTTGTTACTAATGGTTGAATACCTCTTGATTATTACCTTAAAGAAGTTCAGACAAGTTTGATAAACGAAACATTGAAATTATTTAAATTTCAATCGGTGAAATTATTTCAAATATAATTTACACAAAATCTGACAATTCTGAAAAACTTTACTATCAGTAAATGAAGAAAACAATGATAGTTACCTCGTTTTTCTTTACGATAACCTAATGCATAAGCTGCCATGTAAATGGCTGCGGCTGCCACCGAAACTGGGCTACGACCAGCAACTAAATTTAAGTTAAGAGCTCTTCTAGCAACCACATTTGCAACTCTTTGAACAGTAATGTTCAAATTGAGATTACCACAGAATCTAGACATGAAGTCTTCAACTGTAACCGATTGTACATTTGTCTCAAGTATTTTTAGAATCTTTTTAAAAACTTTTCCTATTTCTTTCTTTGAAACTCGTGACACAGCGCATACTTCTGAAAAAGACAGAAAAATATGAAACATTTTTTATTCATAAACTAGTCATAATAATTGATATGACAGGATAAAAATGCAAAATTACATTCCTAATTCATTGTGATTCTTATTTTACATTACTTACACTTTTAATTCTATATGATGATTATTCAATATAACAATGATTTACTTCAGTTTGATGTTTATATTCAAGACACAACATTCTTGTATAAACTATGTTTAACATGACATGAAGTATGTGCGATTTTGTTATCAATTTATATACCTAACTTTTCACTAAATAATGATTAAATATGTGTACAAATCGATATATAGATGAATACATTTTTAATTAGATTATTCATTGTGTTTTGAGATGAATAAATTTCTACTTGTATCAGATTTGGTGTATTTTACTTCGCTTCCTCGGAACTGTAACGGTTCTTCGTTTTTAAAATATAAGTACCAATCGATGTCGATAAAATAATAACAAATGAAAGTTCGAATTCACACATCAGTAAAGTATGATATCAAAATCAAGATAATAAAAATGGAAAACTGAAATAATTAATCTCTAATATTTTAAGATCACGTAGACCCAACTAATTCGTCTAGTTTTTTTAATTAACTGCTCTATTCCAAATTCTACTTTCAAAACTAAAGTATATAACTTTATACTCATCTCAGTAGGATAACACTGATGCATTGGAAATCAATTTATTTAGTTCCAGTATACGAGTTCTAATACAATAGGGCACCAAAAGGAAAGCACCGCACAAAGGGAGCGATAACATTGTGAAGGAAGAGAAAGGTAATGGAATAAACGAAGTAAATGGAAAGTAATAATTAATAAGAGATACAGTTCAGTTAAAAATGTAGACAAAAAGACATTTCTCAGTTAAGGAAGGTCACCTAAAATTTTTTGACAATGTAATAAGAAACTACAAAAGAACTTCATTTGATTTCGATCTTATGTTATATATGATAACGCCTCAAGCAACTGAGTTGTATGATCACTGGGTATTCGTAAAAAATGACCGAGTCAACGAGCTCGGTGTTTCAAGATGGCACTAATTAAATTATCGTCATTAGGCCCGATTACACACGGCTGAACCCGGGTACTACTAATAGTGTTCCAAAAGGATGTGAGAAATTCTTCACAGACAACTATGATCGAATACATATGATAATGAGTAGTTGTGAAATGGAGTATCAAATGAAGTTTAGAAATGCTGGGATTTCCAATTTTTTTAAAAACTGTTCAGTTAAAATCTGTATCGTGAATCTCTTTGTAATGTAATGAGAAAAAGTATGCAAAATTTGGTACATCGTAAGTAAATATTTATTGTGTTGTATATTGTGTCATCTACTTGTTTTTATTTATAAAGATGGTTCTAGTACGAAAAGAGCATTAATAAGAGTAAGCCACCTAGCGTTGAGTAATCCTATACACATTTGTTTACTTCATTTTTATAAGAATTAACTTTTATCATGCTTTGACTTATGTAATTAAAACGGTACAATTCAATGGTACTAGAATCTGAAAAATTGAGAGTACATATTAACTCTTATTCTCAAATTAGAAAACTAATTCCTTTACAGTACGATCATTACACTATTCACACTCATACAAACATGCACAAGAAAACATATTACACAGAAGTATTCAAGACGTGGATGACATAACATTATCTTGACTAGATATCCTTGTATTTAGTAGATATTTAATTTAACTTGTTTGTCATGCTACGTACGTTTATACTGGGTTGGAGAATTTTCCATTGTCCGAAGAAGCAATTAACAGTAAGTCGCGAGATATTACGAAATGCATTGCAATTTTTATTAAGAAAAATGATAATCAGTCAGTCAGTCTTACATAACACGGAACCTGGTACATACATGGGTGGGTTCAAGTTACCACACTACATCACAGCGAGATAACAGTGTAGTATAAGTAGTAACAGTATTATCGATAACAGAAAACATTAGGTATAAAAGATATAATTCGATAAGAAATGGATTCGTAGAATAAATCTTTCTTAAGATGATTAAGTAACTTAGGATCCGAGGGGAAAAAGTGAATGAACCTGCACCATTGCGGACAATTTTAATAACTCCGTGATGATTGATAGCAACCGATAGTTTTAAACTATGGTTTTGTGTTCATTGATAATCACCAGAAAGACTAAGAATAAAAATATATATGAGCGTTTCTAACTCAGTAACATATAGTTTATGTTGATCATAAAAGAAAACGTCCCCATGCATGAGAACAAACAGCCTCCGAAAACGTCTGTAGATAAATATAAATAGTTGATATGCTTGATAATTTAGTAATACAAAAAGAGCTTTATATTTGAATTCATAGTTTTATATGAGTTAGTTAACCTTTTGGAAATTTAAATAAACTTTAACATATGTCGCTAATATAAAGATTAAAAGCAACGCTAATGCTTTTCATCTACTTATTAATATACAATGTGTGGTATTATCTCACATATTTCATGTGAGATATTGATTAAGCATAAGCAACTAGTAAGAAAATGTACTGAGATCCTTTCACTACATCTCTATGTTGTGTGTGCTTAATATTAAGTGAGATTAAGTCTTATACCAAAAAATAAATATCCGGCTAAAAACTTATTACACTGTCACCTTTGAAAGTCCGAGGGACACCCTCTTGACGACAGGCCATGTAGAGACAAGCGGTTGAGACAGCATCATTACTGCGACCTCGAAGATTTTTAGTCTCATGGACTTGTTTGAACAGCAAGTTAGCATGGTCCTACAATATTTCAAAAAGGAAGACGATATGTAGGGAAAAAGCAACTTGGACTATTTCTAACACAATTAGAGAAAGCTTGTTTAAAACTGAGTTATTAAGATGAGATTACATTAACATATGAACATTGATTTTGAAAAACTCTGAATTGTTTAAATTCAATTACTATTTCAAACACCATAACATTCTTAACATAATGTTGTCGCTGTTTGATTAGCTATTTTCTTATTACAATACTTGTTTTTGACACTGCAAGCTGGAAATAATATTTTGATTTAAATTAGTGACCAAGGCAATTCTGGAATACCCTCATCCGGTCTTCTTTTGATATAGATATATCTAGCCTCTCGTAGGAAATTTCCACTTACAGCCTACATCGAAGATTTTCAGAAGTAGTTAGGGAAGATTGGTTCTTCTTTAATGAGTAACAAAGAGACTTATCTTTTAATAAAATGGAATTATCAGGAATCCACACCATTCTGATAAAATTATTTTCGACAACAATATTCAAGTTATTCAGAATAGGTTGCTTGATCACTGTTCCTTGGGTTTTACTGATATATTTATCGGTTTATAAATAAAAAGTGAACACAAAGGTGATGGTTCGAAGTAAACTATAGTAATTGTCAATTTACATATTTTAACACCCACTTGGAAATATAATCTTGAGATTAAGCACGGGCACTTTTGAATGCTAATTCTTTTAAGCTTATTTAGGTAAACATGTATATTGGTTCTGACTGATTCATACGGACGGCTAGTAGGAAGACCCAAATTAGAGGGAAGGTGAGGGATATAGTCAGGATTAACCCTATTATTAGCATCCCGTGACTGATACGATTAGTGGCATGACATTACGATAACTTATTTAGTCACCAATAAGGTTTAGCGGCCTGCTTTTTCATAATAATTTAAATACTTACAGCACCACAATAACTGCAGTTTATCACCAAAAATTTTACCCTGTCAGCAAGTTATGACCAACATAAAACTTGACAAAATTTTATACCATCTGAAATCGTCACACCACATAAGCATAATGAGATGGAAGGTGATGACTGGTTGTGTGTAACACATGTCTTGACTTTCCAAGATGATGAATGTTGACATCATCGACTAACTAGCAATATTCACCCAGCACCCTATATCTGACTACAGCGTTGCTTGCTCAGTCATTCCACTGCATGGGAGCAATACTTTGAAGGTATTCGTGGTCAAATGCTAGCAACCTACGAATGCATTCTAATTTTAGAGGACATGTCTTAGTCATTAAGTAAAAGAGGATTGGTAGGCGGATATCTACGTGTTACGTATGCCCAACGACCGACTGCCTCGACGTGCTATGTTCAGTGGTATAGGAGTAGGTTGGAAGAAAGCTAGAGGCGGCCAAACCAAAACATCGCACAAGTCCATGAAGTCACTGACAAGTGGACTGAGTCATGTTGGTAGGTGTAGACTACCTGGTTGGGGACCGCGAGATTATAGCAACCGATGGTTAGAGACCCTGAATGACATGGCTCAAAATCGTTTGCAATGGCGCAGGTGCACCCACTCTCTGTGTTCTCCCAAATTCTAATCTTCTGAATTCTTCATGTCCCTTTTTTTCCTCTTTTCAAATTTATTTCACTGGATTATACTCTTTAAACAAAACCTCCAAACCCTAATCTTCCCGATTACTGCTTATACTCTTATTACCTCTACCACTATGGGATTTGAATCGACAACTGCATCTCTGTGCTAATGTGGTGTGGCAACTCGAACTGATGTACGTACGTACGAAGTTCTACGTTGTTACTGACTGACTGACTGAGGCGGATATCTCTCACATATAAATGATGTAAAAGACAATTGAGCTTTTAGAATCCGTACTGAGATTTATTCAGTCACAAATCCAATGGGGGTGATGAAACTTCCAAGATAAGTAGTTTCCTTTAACTGTACAAGATACCCAGATGTTAATCAAACAAATTGGTGGGTAATGTTTTTTGGTTTTTTCGCTCAAGATAACTGACGTAAGTTAACATTTAGTTGTTAGAAAATCACTGACAACACTTATAGGCATGTCTGTTAATTCACTGGCTTTAAAAAGTAAAGCTGGTTTTCTAGATTTCAAATACTGTGTATCCATGATGAGCCAGTTTATCCAAGTGAAAACAGCTATCTGACGCCACAAATAGCATTTACAAATACATTGTACATCATTAACACAACATGAAGGATGGTTATGCTAAACAACGTGAGCATGTAAAATTTATTTGTTACATGTATATTTTCTCTACAAGTAAGGCAGTTTTTATCCTGTACATAGGTGTTTTTGCAAGTGCGTGTCTAACGAATAAAACTCCACGAACTGAACTTTTATGAACTATTAAATGGATCGGATCTACTGTAGGGTCTAATGACACGTTAAAAGCATACATTTTAATCACAGTCAGTCAGTCAGCTACAACGTAAGACCAGGCACATATTTGCATCGGTCCAAGCTGCCACACCTTATTAGCACAACAAGATGAACACCAAATTCATAGGAGTAGTTAAGTCAATGGTGATAATATATAAAAGAAAGATTGTATATAAGGGCATAGTACAGGTAGAAAGAATCAGTTCGTAGAAAGAAATATATGAAGCGATTTCAATCCCATAGTTTAAAGGAAGACAAAGAGTGTATACGCATACGCCATTGTGAACGATGTCGCGTCGTGGTAATCGGTGTTCGGGCATACGCAACACGTGGCCCAACCATCTCAGTCGGTGAAGATTCACAACCTCATCAACTTATTTACCATCCTTCCCTAATACCCTACGTCTAACCTCATTATTACTTACCCGGTGGTCCCAGCAGATGCGAGCAATATTTCTAAGGCATCTGTGGTCAAATACTAGTAGCTTACGAATATCTCCTACTCTTAATGGCCATGTTTCGCAGCAGTAAAATAAAGCAGAACGAACTGCCGCGCAATATACTCCTCCCTTAATTGATAGACAGACCACAGAATGGGATTCGACTACATTTCCTTGGTTAACATTTTCGCGCTCGGTCCAACGAACGCGTCAGATATCAGCAACAACAAATCCTGTGATATACGACAGCATGAAATGGAATCGGTGTATTTTGCCAATCGATAGGAGGGATGATTTCGACAGAAATTTCACAACTACTAGTCACAATGTACCGAACAATGTGCGAAAAGTTGGCATACAAAAATGAGGTCACCATTACAGTTGTATGTTTAGAAGGCTTTAAAACAAATGTCCAAGACTTCGTATTGACCTACAGTATAGTTTTCTTACATAATGGTTCCAAATGGGTTTCAGATATACATATAAAATACAATGAAAACTTATCGTGAAACTAGGAATGGAACTTACTGATATGCTTTTGGGGAGATTTAGATGTTCGCCCATTTGACTGATTTCTCTGAACGCACTCAAAAGTACCCTATCAGGCGCAGATATATTGCGACGGTTTCGGTACATTGGCTTCCCATGCTCATCAAGTTGTCGCGAGTCAGAAGGTGATGGACCACTGATCATAGTTGAAAGATCACCCCCATCTAACAAGAAGTTTTCACTAGCTCCTACTCGACACATATCTTTGGCATTGGCATCATTAGAAAACGTGCGCCATTCAGACCCGACGTCAATTACTCTGCACGAAGCGGATGCAAAAACCATGTTTATCGTGACAAAACATACCTATCAGCAACAACCAATCCACACATCGAGCAAACCATATCCCCAGCATGAGAATCTTCAATAAGGACTGCATATGGATGATACTTACACTCTAGATGACTCCTTTAGAAATGAGGAGAATTATTAAGCTTTATAGCGTTTACATGGTGTGTCAGATATTGCCTTGGTAGACACGATATGTTAAGTGTCAGGTCAACAGTACTTCGACTAGAAACCTTTGGCAACTAAATAACTTCACACTTTCCTTCGGGACGAAGCTCGGAACAGTTTCAAGAGAATCCCACAAATATTTTAACAGATAAGATATCAAAAAAACAGCTGGAAAGGCCAGCTACTCAAATGAACAGGTCAGTCTAGGTGTAAACCAACAACGACCTTGACGGGCCGAAGTAACCGCGGGCATTTTGTATTTGAACGACACTAGGTGACCCGCTTGATTACAGATTCAGATTCCGATTTGTGTGGTAAGGACAGAAGGTCTACGGCCTATGTTATTCCTATTCTAGTATGCTTTTGTGAGTGTCCAGTCTTCTGTTGAAAGAGTCAATTGAAGGTGCGGACACCACTGCTTCAGGTAGCAGGTTCCAAGTATTGATGACTCGGTGTGAAAACCTGTATGCCAAGGGTATTTTGTTCGTTTATGGTTTTTCTACTCGCCTGCTATGTCCTCCGAGGTTTCCCGATCTAGTGGGAAGAAAGAGAGAGAATAAGTTAGGTTCGAAATCATTTCTCAGTATTCTGTACATCAAAATTAGATCTCCCCTTAGTCTGCGATAGGACAGAGTAAAGAGGTCCAGTTTTTCAAGCCGCTCTTTGTATGATAAACCCCAGAGTTCCGGAATTGCACGGATAGCTGCCCTATGTACGTTTTCTAGTATGTCCGAGTCACATTTTAAGCAGGGGCTTGCAGCCTGAAAAAACTTTATACTCCGTGCAAAGACGGAGTTGGAAAAAATGAGTTAAGACTCATTGTATTGTGCCTCCCCACGGAAATCTTTAGTAAAAAGCGAAAGATTTATCCGCAAATGAGGAGACATCCTAACTTGACTTCCTGGTATATATACGTCTGTAACCGCCAGATAATTTGTAAAAAATTCTTAATAATGGATCACTTAGACCATTGTTTGTTGCTTTATATCCTGAACCAAACTAAGATGTTCGCGTTGTTGTGATGTTTTATACCTATTGATAGTAGCAGTACTATCGCATCAACTAGTTTCAATACGGCTTCTATAGACCTGGAAGTTACTTTTTGACTGAATACTCAATCACAGGTTCTTCATTTGGACAGAATTCGAAGGCCGCTTTAAAAATTCTCAGTCTTCAGTGAAGGATAGGAGGTCAGTCGACCTATATTAATCCCTGCAATTTGTAGTGCTGTGGATATCTAGTCTCTCTGAATGTATCGGAAACTGATAATATTGTGTGTTCCATAACAGAATTAAAATAATCTACTACTTGGTGAGTGAAACGGAACTTCAGACACAAGCGACTTTATCTCAGTCTTTAAACTTTCTGAGAATGTTTTCTCAGATGATCAATTCTATGTGGAAAAGAAAGGTAACACATATTGATGCTAAAATCATTGTTCAATGTAAAGTAGATCAAGACTAGATCACGCTGCATCGTGCGCTAGGATGGCAGAAATAGGTCGAAGAGTTTCAGTCCGTTTTCATGCGATAGGCCAGAGAGAATTTTTACCATTTTGGCCCCTCGCCTCTGAACTCATTCTGGCATATCCGTCCTAGACTTGAAACAAGGGTTTGGTGCTTGGATCAAACGAGGCCTCACGAAAGTCGGGTATGATACCCTAAACGTTTCTTTATTTAAGTAATGAAATACCTTGCGAATAGCCAGTAAGACCCTAAAGCCTTTGACAGTGGCTGCCTTGCAGTTACCCGTAGTTTCGTGACCACCGCTTGATATGACTCCTTGATCTTGATGGTTTATTGATTTGCGTAACACAACTTCACATATTGTGCAGTGATATGAATCGTCGCAGTTATTTAATTGCATTGCCACACTATTGTTAGAATTTACTTCTAATGACCACCTGCACATCCTTTCAACCAATGAATTGAGATCATTCTGTTATAATATCTGACATATCCTGTATGGGTCTCCAGATTTCCATATCATTGACAAGAAGTGGAACGGATGACTTTGATACTATTGCTAATTCATTTACATTAAGTAAAAAGGAGGACCAAGGATTGCGTTTCGGGAAACTTCACTTTTCACAGGCTCCCATGCTGAGATTTCTATTTATCCTTGCCCGCTATCTCCTATCATTAAGGATGTCACTTATCCAATCTGCGGTTTCACAAAGGATTCCGAAACTTTCCAGTCTTTATTTAAGACTCAAATGAAAGACCCTGTCAAAAGCTTTACTTAGGTTTACGAAAATCACATATATAGGAATATTTCTACCTTTTGCTGCAGCACGATCTTCTCTTGCAATGAGCAGATTCGTCGAACATGATGGGGCATTCTTAAAACCGTGTTATTCCCTGAATAAAAGACTATGCCCTTTCATATAGTTTAAACTAGCTATCCGAATAACCCTTTCCATTACTCTGAAAACTGCACTGGTTAGACCAAAGGCTTGATAGTTACTGACTAAGTCTCCGCTCCCTGTCTTATACACTGGGATGCGGCAGAAACAAATCAAACAGCATAACCATAGGTCCAACCAAAACGTCCGACAGCTCCTTCTTAATTCCATGATGAATATCGTCAGGAACACTGGGCTTATCCGGTTTGAGATGTTGAGTTGATCTTTAGACAGTTTTTCTCGATGACAAGCAGCCCTGGTTATGATTAGTTGTTGATCGTTCCTCATTGCCCGTAGAAAACACTTCACTAAAATATTTCGATAATGATTAGGCTTTTTCATCATTTCTTGCTAATATCAACAGATTTTCCTGTACCAGAAGGGGTGAGATTCCATTACTTTTCTGGGTCTGCCTCTTTAAATATGAGAATAACTTCTTCAGAATATTTCAACAGCCCATAACAGATCATTTTTATATGACTATCTAGTCTTACTTATAAACTCTTTACAAGCATTCCTAATCTTACAATAACTGTATCTGCACCGTTTTAAGCCTGTAAAGATTAACATATCCCATTGCTTTATCATGCGTCTAAGAAGTTTCTTGAATTGTTCATTCATTTATGATGGGTAGTTGTTTGATCTACATGATAATAGGCATGATATGAACTAGGATGTGGCAAGGCTAGGCGTACTTTTGTGTATGGTCCATGCTTCTCCAATTGGTGAGCTATTATTCGCTGACCAGTTTGTTGTCGTAGCGCACTCCCGGATAGTTTAAATTTTCTCTCTCCACACATTTGGGTAGGATTTAGTCTGATCGCATATCATTTCCTAAGCTCTAAACATGAATGACAATCAGCATAATCACTATTTGCTGACAGTGGGAGAATATTTAGATTAGCCATCTTCTCGGACGCATGAGTGATCAATTCCTGTGGTAGCCATCTCTGTTCAGTCAAATATCAAGTGCATTAAAATCTCATAGTTCTGGGCATTTTTCTTTTATTTCTATACATGGATGTGCTTTGATTCATCAGCTGAGCAGATTAGGCTTCAATACATCACACTGATTATAACTCCACAACATTCAAAAGTGACTCAACAAGTTCAGCTACTGATTCACTGAAAAGAAACGGAAGTTTTTATTAAGGATCCTGGATCCATTCCTGTGCCTATTTCAATCACTTCTCAGTTATTTATATCCCAATAATTCAGGAGCGATGTCATAGTCGTAGACTAAACAAGCTTTTGTCGCAGCTAGGGTGAGTGGCTTTAATTCGCACACTGCTACCTCTAGCCCATGGAATTTGTTTCCTAGACTATGGCCACTTGCATATAAAAGCTTCAGAGAGAACGATCTATTCATACAAGCCTTGGAAAAATTCCCATCCAACTGACTGTTCGAAAACACATAGAGTGGAGATGCAGTGGAGAAATTTGTAGCTCGGGTGCATGTTTTTGGTCAGGTCTTGTTTTCTGAGCTGCACAGTTTGCTCGTGGGACTTTCATCATTCTTCTGAACGACCTCATCAGCACAAACTTCAGGTGGAAGTGAAGTGTTCGAATTTCTCCACATGTGGTTCACAGCTTGTCCTGTACACTTTGATGTTGATTGGTTCTTGTTGACCTTAAACATGTCATTTTATTACTTCTTTGTTTTGGTTGCATCTTCTGTTGGTTTGATTTTGATCAATCTACGTCGAGGTGTACAGAACAAGCTGTGAAGCGCATATGGAGAAATTCGGACACTTCACTTGTATCTGAAGTTTGTGCTGATGATGTCGTTCAGAAGAGCGATGAAAGCTCCACGACTAAACCGTCCAGGTCAGAGGACAAAGCTCCATCAAAATCACCTACCCGGGCTAAAAATATTCTCCACCATCTCGAAACCATATGGAGTTTCTCCAAAAACGCAATAATACACAAGTTTCAATGTTAGCATTATGTTTGTCGCATTTGAGAAAGAGGATAATAATAATAGAATATTAACAAATCAGGTTCTGTGTAATTGAGAAGAATATTGAATTGAGTTTAAGGAAGGAAAGGGAGAAAATAATAGAATAGAAATAAAGGGGACGTGAAATACGCAAATAGTTTAATAAGCGTGTTTACGAACACAGAACAAGAATAAACGACTATGTATGTATCGTCAACTTAGCAACCAAAATAAAATAGAAAATAATTAAGAAAAAATAACTTATAATTGCAGTAAGATATGACGCTAGAATAAATGTTTGTGCAGTCATAGTTTGGAGTGATGCTATGAAAGTCCCAATTGAGTGAGAAGGATAATGAAATATCCATGTGTCAGAGTCAAGTATGTACAATGAAGATAAAACGAGTTTGAGAAGTTAAGTGTAACACAAGTCATTGTTTTAATCAAAAACTTCGCAAACTTAAGAATAATATTTATTTAGATGGAAAAAAGGGAGAAAAGAAACCAAAATCTAGTGAAACGGTCCAACCATTATGATAATAGTTGTGTAATGAATATCGACCTCTGAAGTAAGCCAACAATTAAAAAATAAAAAATAAAAAATCTCTTTAGCGCACTCGAATAAATACACGTGGATCTATGTAATAGTATACAGAGTAAAACTTGATATCAGCATAAACTTTTGTGCAATAATAATTTAGGATGATGCTATGAAAGTCACAACTAATTACAAAGGATAATCAAATATAAATTTCTCTGTGTTATATATATGTGTATGGTGAAGATAAAACTAATATGAGAAGCTAAGTTATTAACGTGTACCGTGAGATAATTCATTATTTGTTACAGACCTCGAATGTTTAAGAATAAAATATGCTTAGAAGGACAAGAAGAGATGAAAAGAA